GGTTTTAACTGCAATATATCGGAGTTTTCTTTGTAAAATAAATATAATAATGTATAATATATAATATACAATTATATATTATATTATAAATGCCTTTTTGTATAATATTTAATTATAAATAATAATATCTTTGTTAATTTGTTATATATACACTGTTATTCAGTCACCTTATCTTATATATTTGAGCCTTGACAGCGGCTTTGGTTATATATAAATATTTTTTTATATTTTTTTTAAACTAAATTTCTGTTTATTACTTAAAGTTTAAGGGTTCTCATAAGTATTTGCGACTGATGTATGTATGTTTTTGTTTATTGTTTATATGGGAATATGTTTTAAATATAAGTATTTATGGGAATATTATATTGAATATGGGTTCTTATTACTAGTAACTAGACTTTGACTATGATATATTTTAATAAATATTAACATATATATTTATATTTAATATATATTTAATATTTTAAGCATATTTTCTGTATTATTCATACGATTTTTCTGTGAATAATTAAAATGTTAAGCGTATAAACAATTCATGTTTCGGTTTCTGTTTAAAGAAAGATGAAAATATTTTTAAGAACTTGGATATTTGTTATTGGATATACGATATTTAAGGAAACGGTTATATATATGTATAATGATTAGCTATATAAAAAAAAATGCTATTGTGTGAGTCTAATATAATTTTCTAATAAATTGCATATCGCTTTGTAGGGCGGGTGTGGCGCTAATATAATATATATATTTACATATATATATATATTATACAAATAAATATATATTATATACAAAAATTGGGTGCCGTAGGAGGAGGGGAACGGGGACGGGGGTGCCATGTTCCTTGGAATCTTAGAACATCTTAAAGAAAACGAGATACACCCCGCCGCTCTGGCTAAAATACAAAAAAAAAAATTAATCGGATGGGTTAGTCTCACATACACATGCTATCGGATATTATATATATCTCTATATATATATATATATTGTGGATTAGCTTGCTGCCTCGAAACGGCCAGGTGGGGCACCTACCGTCCAGACTAGGCCCCTGAATCGCCGCCATCTTGGCCCGCTCTGGCCTCCGCCAAGCTTTGACACCTCCTCCTACTCCCGACCCCACGCCCGACCTGGCCAATTAGCTAATGGCTATTGACAGGGTCGCCACATGGATATGAGCAGGGAGTAGCTTCTCAGAGGCTTTGAGCGGGCTGGAGGTCGCTGTGGCCGCCGCCTGGAAAAAGGATGCCTCACGCTCGGCAACCATTTGACTCACCTGTCGCCATGCGAATCCCTGTCCCGGTCGCGTTCCATCTCTTCGCCGACGCCGCCGCCGCCGCCGCCAATATCTGGAGCAACAGCTGCTCCCGGTCCTGAACCAGAACCTGTTCCTAAACCAGCCACCTGTCCTGGTGCAGCTGGACCACCGCCACTGCCGGTGCTATGGGTATGGCTGGTGCTGACGCTGCCCCCGCCCTCTGGCTCCGGTTCGGCCTCTGGCTGTGCCTCTACCTGGACCTCCACCCTCACCACTTCATGATCTAGGGCCTCTAGCTGCTGCTCCTCCTTCTCCTGCTTTGGCTGCTCCTCCTCCTGCTTTTGCTGCTCCGAATCCTTGGCCTTGTCCGACATCCTTACTCTTGCTGCTGCTGCTGCTGATGGACGGATCCTGGACAGAGCAGAGGCCCAAGTGTTGTAATTGTTTTTTAATAAAGCCCCACTGCAGCGGACACCCAAGCAGAAAAGGGACCCAGGACAGGACACAAAAAGACACCAAAAAAAAAAAAGAGACCAACAAAAAGCAAAACAAAAGCCTGGCGAAACAAAGGAAATTAATGTAAATTAATTGCCGTGACCAAGGAAAAGCCGCTTACTCCTTCGTCCTGCCGACCTATTTTCTCTTTTAGTCTCGAGTTTATTTGTATTTTTTTCTTACAAAAGCAACAGAACTCTTTTGCCGTGAAAATGCTCAATTATTTTGCATAATAAATGCCACAAAAATGTGCATTCCTTGAATATTAAATGGGATACTTTAGGGGTTAAGCTCTAGCAAGCCAAGTTGGCCGGATAATGCCATTGGCAAACACTCACTCAGCAGGGCATGGGACAAGTGGCTTAAATGCGTCAACATCCCTTCGATTATAATCGCTCTTCGTTCGGGTTGAGTGATTAAAAAATAATACCAAATTAATGGCTTGGCTAGGCGCAAATCGCCAATCATTCACACGGTCCAAGAGCTGATTGCTAGCAGCGTAGAAAAGCGATTAGATTGGGCCTCCGCAAAGCGGTTAGTCATGGTGGCAAATGAACTCCAACCACTTCAATGGTGTTGGTAATTGGGCCCGGACTATCATCATCCACTGATAAGTAGGCAACACTTAATGGCAAGCAGGTGAGACAGCGCCCCTGACCACAGACACATGGGGGGCCAGGTGAGAGACCGCAGTTACGGTTACGGTTAACATAAATGAGAATATTCACAGCATTTGCATATGAATGATTCACGGGGCCCATGCATAACAAAGGCACAGGTAGGAGCCAGGGAGTAGGAGTGCGAGTGGGAGTGGGAGTCGAAGTGGGAGTACAGGTGAGACTAGCTGGTGGCAACGGGTTGAGCAACATATAAATAAAGTATGAGGCGCGAGGCCACTGTTTTAGGAGCAAATACTACTACACTCGTCAAAATGTTTACCTAAAATATATATAAGAATTTGCCCTTAAAAAGGAGACAAGGGCGAGTTGCCTTTGATTTGAGAAATTTATTTGAGAAATTCATTTAAGAAATTGATTTGAGAAATTGATTTCAGAGATTTCGATTTAAGAAAAAAATGTACCATTAAATTCGGAAATAAATTTCCTGAAATCTACGACAACTTTTCTCAAATGTAGAGAAAATGGATCTAGTTTTTTTAGGGCAATTCGATCTAAACATAGGGAAAAACTTTTCTAAAATTAAAAAGACATTTTTCTTTAACTTAGAGAGAATTTTCTTATTTTTATGGATATTTAATTGGTCGCAAAATGGAGAGAACAATTTTCTAAATTTAAAGGTAATTTTTCTACAATTAAATTTGAATTTTTCTTAAATTTAGAAAGAGTTTTCCTATTTTTATAGCTATTTAATTGGTCAAAACAATGAGAGAAAATTGTTCTAAATTTAAAGGTAATTTTTCTACAATTAAAATGAAATTTTTACTACCTGTAAGCAAAAAAAAACGGCAATTTACCTTTGAATTAAGAAAGGAACCTATCAAAACCTTAAATTTTATAATATCTTTTTCTTAATTTTCTTAGTTTGATGAAAATTTTGCCAAGGGAAATTTTTACCTAAGGGCAATTTTTTTTTAAATACAAAAACATATATATTTTCTTTACGAGTGTAGTTGAAGTCGCCTTTCTTTACTCATCAAATATGAAAGGGCCAAGAAAATTAACCCGGAAAAAACGACAACAACAACAGAAATAAAGCAAGACTACAAAAATACAACAAGAAGAAAACCCAAAAGGAAACCGAATTTGAACTGGAAAATGAAATGAAAATGAAATTTTCTGCTTAGGTCTGCACAAAAACTTGGTTTCAGCCGAGGCCAGCACAATGGCAGGCAATGGCTTTATAATAGCCGGACAGGGATCCATCGGAGGATACCCGAGATCTGTACCTGTGCTGCTCGGCTAAAGAAAGGCAGGACAACCCCTCCTTCCCACACGCTCCCCCACGTATTTAGGCCTGTGAAACCCTGCACCCCGGAAACAAACTTTTCATAACACGCACGCACTTTCAAAAAAACGAACAAAAAATTTGACACACAAATGCGGGGGGCGGGGGGCCGGAGAGTGAGTGACAGAGAGAGAGAGAGAGAGAGAACCAGAATTCAAACCTTTAGTTTTCGCTTTTCTTTTCTCGGTTTTCCTGGTCGAAGCTAGCTCTCTCGTTAGATTTTGTGATTTTTTTGAAAATTTTGAAAACTTATTTTTTTTTAAATTAAATTTTGAATTTTTGTTGTTAAATTTGGAACTTGATTTTCTTTTTTGTTTTGAATTCACTGCTCGGATTATTAGGCCAATTATGAAGATGATACTACGGTTACTGATTTGTAAACTGATAAAGATACAGATACAAATGCAGATACAGATACAGATATACTGGTTCTAGTTCTGATACTGCTGCTGATTCTGATACTAATTCTGCTACTGATACTGATACTGATTCTAATTCCACACTAACAACACTGTGCGGTGCTGGGGGTCACGGTAACGTAACCGACAATGACTGAACAGGAACTGAAACTGAGTTTTCCTGCCAGCGGAGACCTTATTTTAAATCGCCCAGCGCACTGTTGCTTCTCTGTTAGGGGACGCTGTTACGGAGTCTGTAAATGTAGCAGGCGACCTGTTAGCGCCATTCCGAAAGCTTTTTTCGGAGTCACATTCACGATGAGAAGTGGAGAAATCAGCAGAAGCCAGGAGCTGGCTGGCTGACAGTTCTCCGAAAACGTAAGCCGCAAACAGAGGGCCTTGCTGGGTGGGTTGTGGCACTCCCACCCTCCCCCCGCTCTTTATATTTAGCCTTTTTCCAACTGCAGGAAAATCTAGAAGTTTACCAATGCGTTTGCCATTTTGCAATTTAGCTTGCGGAAAATATTGTCAACAGAAATTATTAAAAGAAATTTTTTGTGCAATGATAAGCGAAAGTAATGTATACAAATAAATAAAAATATTATTCAAATTGATAATGTTTATAAATACGAAATTTAAAATAAAAACTAAATAATCAAAAAATAAAGCCTTTATGAAGAAAAATATTGTTTTAAAATATATAAATATTTCATTTAAAATACATTTATAAATAAATATAAATAAATACAATTACATAATATATTTGTATAAAATATTTAAATTTATTTTTAAATATATTTAAATAAATATTATATTTATTTCCAAGCCTTATTATTTAAACAAAAATTCTTAGCAAACCAAAGGCAAAAATAATTCACTAGAAGACATACCTTGGAGGATTTCCAATTCTCAGGAAGTGATTTTGATTATTTTCTACTATTTTTCCAGCAACTTCGTTTATGTTTTCAAAGGAAATACAAAACAAGTTTATTTGCCAAGCATTGGAGTCCTTGAATCCTGGAAATAGCTAGAAATAAGAAGAAGAAGAAAATTAAATTACTAAAAAAACGGTTCCAAATGTTAACAAAATGTGCAGAAAATATTAAAATAAAACTTAACCATTAAATTATTAAGAGAAAACCCGTTTAAAATTTTAGAACAAATTTGCAGAAGGTATAAGAATTAAAATAAATTATTAAATTATTGAAAGAAAAAATTGTTAAAAAAAATTATTTAAATTAAAAACCTTCAGTTTAAACGCAAGTTACCAAACAATCTTGCTACTAAATAACAAATAATTTTAATAATTAAATCAAGAAACCTTAAGAAATCTTTTTAAACCACGTTTTTTTCTACTGAAACACACAACCTTGATCCATCAACCTTTTCGAAATTAGGCCCAAATTGGAGAGCAGCATGGAGAGTCACCTGTCCAGCTGCCACCTGTAATCTCGAAGCACCAATCTCGAAATTTCCAATCGCTTTGCATTCGCGACATACGCAACAGGTTTCGTTCTGAATTTCCGCAAGGACGAAAAAAGCAACGAACAGGCTGTAACCGCAGGACCAGCTGACACCGCTACCCGGTCTTGGTTTTGGGGACAAGGACACACACAGAAGGCACAACACCGACAGACAAATAATTACGCAGTTAATGGCCTTGGCCTTGTCCTTCTTCGGTTCTTCAGTTTTTCAGTTTTCCACTATTCCACTTTTCCATTTCCCCTCAGGGATCAACCATTTCCGCCTGCTACCTGTGTGCACATCAGCTAAGCTTGCATCGAAGCCTTTGCAGGTCGTTTTACGCTCTCCTTTTGCTCAATGGGAATCTCTAGAAATTGAATGACCTCCAAGAGGCAGCAAAATAAACAGGAAGAAGGCTCCTATAAGTAATTAAAGTTTAAGATTTTAAGTGATTAAAGCAGGATTAGGTGTAAACTGGAAACCTGCTAATTTCTATCCAGAAAGTCTATTTTTTTCAAGAAGAAAAATCAATTTTAAAGACATTTTTTGAGAGGTTTTTCTACTTGACATAAAGATATGGAAAATCGCCGTCTTTTCATTTAATAGGAAATAATAAAGAAAATCATAAATTGTGTAACAGGGAGACAAGTGCATCAGCGGATGCGGCGGCCAACGCTGCGTATGCTCGATAATTCAGCTCCGGCAGCGTCATAAATATATTTTTCGGGGCAACTTGCAGGCCAAGCCGTGCCGCGCAATAAATCATCATCAATGACACAGGGTCAGGACGACGCTTAAGCTTCCGTTTTCGGTCCATGTGGGTGTAGTGACTCCTACTCCTAGTCTTGCACATCCTCCTGAACCTCCACCTCCATCTTTCCTAGGATTTTGACTGTGCGACTGCGAAATGCCTGACTCCTATTCCACCTCCACCTCCTCCTCCACCTCCACCTCCTCCTCCTCCACCTCCTCCACCTCCTCCACCTTCTCCACCTCCTCCACCTTCTCCAACACCTCCTCCTCCACCTCCACCTCCTCCTCCACCTTCTCCTCCTCCAAAAGAAAAACGTTAAAAGTGAAAACATAAAGCATATAAACTTTGATGCTTCCATTACTCTTTTTGATCCTTACACAACAGGGCAACGTGTTGCCACCTAAGATATGTAGCTCCACCTAGCGCTGCTCCTTGCCAGCTTCACCCCGGTGTCGGTGTCCTTGTCCTTGTTCTTGCCCCTACTTTTGTCCCCTGTCCATGTCCATGTCCGGTTTGATGGCACTGAGACAGAGCAGCTTGTCCGCCTGGCATTATGGCCGGGAGTCGTTAAGCTCCGGGCGTTACTTTGTGAACGTTTTACGGAGCCGAGCAGAGGAAGGATACAAGCGCCCAGAATGGAGTCTGGAGTCCGAATGCCGTGTGAGTTAGGAGCGTTGAAATTATGATTGCCGCGCGCGGATTGGCCATAATTTTATTAGGCCCTGAGCTAAGCATTCGCCTCCTGCTGACATTTTCAGCTCGCTTAAATCAATTCATCAACTTTGAAAGGTCAAAAATATTTTTAAGATATTTATATTTAGGAGCGACTTGAATAGAAATGAGGGGAAAAACAAAAGGCATTGTAAAAAGAATTGTAGGAATTTTGGATTTGATATAATTACAAATTTAACCAAGAATCGGGAATTGTTTAAAATTTAGAGACCTTAATAAGCACTGGAAATAGGAAACAGATTTTAAATAATAAAATCATTAAAATCCCTAACAATGATTAAAATCCTTAAAAGTTATTAAAACCTTAATTATTAAAATCCGTATAAACTATTAAAATCCTTATAAATTATTAAAAGTTCTAAAAACTATTAAAATCCGTATGAATTATTAAAATCCCTAAAAACTATTAAAATCCTTAAAAATTATTTAAAATCCTTATAAATTATTAAAATCCTTATAAATTATTAAAATCCTTAAAAATTTTTTAAATCCTTATAAATGATTAAAATCCTTATAAATTATTAAAATCCCTAAAAACAATTAAAATCCTTAAAAACTATTAAAATCCTTAAAATTTATTAAAATCCTTATAAATTATTAAAATCCTTAAAAACTATTAAAATCCTTAAAAACTATTAAAATCCTTAAAAACTATTAAAACTCGTAAGAACTATTAAAATCCTTATAAATAAATAAAATCCTTATAAATTATTAAAATCCCTAAAAACTATTAAAATCCTTAAAAACTATTAAAATCCTTAAAATTTATTAAAATCCTTATAAATTATTAAAATCCTTAAAAACTATTAAAATCCTTAAAAACTATTAAGATCCTTAAAAACTATTAAAACTCGTAAGAACTATTAAAATCCTTATAAATAAATAAAATCCTTATAAATTATTAAAATCCCTAAAAACTATTAAAATCCTTAAAAACTATTAAAATCCTTAAAATTTATTAAAATCCTTATAAATTATTAAAATCCTTAAAAACTATTAAAATCCTTAAAAACTATTAAAACTTTTAAGAACTATTAAAATCCTTATAAATAAATAAAATCTTATAAATTATTAAAATCCTTAAAAATTATTAAGATCCCTGAAATTTATTAAGATCCCTAAAAATCATTAAAATTCTTAAAATCTTTTAAAAATGTATGTGAATTGGGAAAAATTAAAATGTAAAAAATCCATCTCTGCAAAAAATGCATTAAATTCAATTCGGAAAACGGATTTTTTTTGTTTTTATAAGGTTAATAAATCTGTATACCAATTTAAAATTTTTTTTTTAATTTAATTTTTCCCAATTTTTTACAAATTTTAACGATGTAATCCTTTATAAAATTTTGAAAAAAATTGATTACATTTTTTTTCCTTTAAACATGGCCTAAACGATTTGTCTGTTCATGCTGATCAAGAATATATTTATGATTTATGGGGTCGGAAAAGCCTCCTTCCCTGAGTTACAATCTCCTGACTGAAATTATAATCCCCTGCAAAGGTACAAAATTCAACATACAAAATTCTCTCAAACAATTCAATTTCAGCAGCATTAATACCTCTTTCTATCTAATGGAAATCGGATATATTTCTGCACGCAAAATAAAAAATATTCATGGCAAAAGCTGGCATTTGTATTAATTGAATTAAAGGAGACGTCGTCCATTAGCCAAAAAGTCGTTGAAAATTACAAAAATCTGATATCATTGATGATTTGCTTAAACCTTTTTGATGTATTGCATTTGGGATATGTATGCATATGGCTGGTGCCTTGCCTTTTATGGTCAATGCATCCATCCGCCTATCGAATTCAAATAATATACATATAGCACACCTTCGTGGGCCAATGGCATTAATGTGGCCAAGATAAGCTCCTGGCTGATGAATCACTCTGGACACCAGGCTCTAGAACCTGAATAGTAAGTCTGGGAAAGGTAACCCTGTGAAAGGTATCCAACGGCCGAGAAATGCAATTATCCCAACGGAGAGAGGCTCATTGAAAAGTAGAAATTAGTTGCTACTTCGGCAGGAAAGCACAAAGAATGCAATCAAAAATTGGGTTCCTTAAAAGGCACTGTGCATTCCACAAAGCCATCGACAGGAGCTGTCTGCTGTCTTTTGTCTCTTCTGATTGCCGTTGGCAGTTCTGTCCCATTGTTCTGCTGGTTCTTGGAATATCTATATATATATATATGGAATTTTTTTTTTGAATTGGAATGTAGAATTTAATTTAAAGAAAAATGCTAAAATGTTCTATCAATAAATAATTAATAAATAATAAAAAAAAAATAATCAATAAAAGATTGAAAAATAATCGATAAATAATCAAAAAATAATCAATAAATAATCAATAAATAATTAATAAATAATCAAAAAATAATCAAAAAATAATCAATAAATAATTAATACACAATCAAAAAATACTCAATCAATAATCAATCAATAATCAATAAATAATCAATAAATAATCAATAAATAATCAATAAATATTCAATAAATATTGAATAACTAATCAAATAAAAAAATAAACAGATAATCAAATTTAAATAAAGGCCTAGATAAAAAACTAATAAAAAGTCAACGTGGCGTATGAGTAATAATTTAAATCTTGGACTAATCTGCTTTCATTAAATCCTAATAATTTCATAAAACAAAATTTTTTGCAAAATATAAAGGGTGAGGGTATTCCCAACTACGATTTCCCCTTCCATCCCTGCTGTTCTCCATAATTTGATGCTCTTTTTAAAGGCAGCAGCACCAGGACACAGCAACAGCGGGATATTAAAAACGGAAAAAATTATTTGCTGCATTCAGAATTTTAGTACCTGTACTGGAGAGTTGAAAATTGGGTCTCTGTGAAGCATTATTTATAGCTCACTAATTGAGTTGAAGGCAACGGCGGCGGCTGTTGAAACTTCCTGTTCAAGGAAAACCCTTTGGAAAGTTGTCGCCAAAAAAATAAAACAAACAGCTTGTTTCCCTCCTTTCCCTACCCGGTTTTTTAATGCCAAAGCCCCTTTTGTGGGGGTGAACAACACATCTGTCAAATAATATTTTATTTTCAAGAGGTTGCCATGAGATGGGGGGGCCAGTTTAGAGTTCCCCGGCAGTGCGATAAATCATGGCCAGAAGCAGGGACATTTCAATTCCGTTTATTTTGTTTTTGTTTCTGTTTCAGTTTCAGTTCGAGTGACATCAAGGTTGTTGTTACCAAAATCAGCTCAAGGGGCCAACAGAGAGATAGAGAGAGATAAATAAATTCAATTTCGGCAATATAAGGCGGAACCTGTTTATGGGATCTGGAGGAGATGGTTTTTGGTGCGTAGTGCAGGGGGAATGAAATTAGAAACACAAAACCCCAAAGAAACGCAATCAAAAATGAGGCAAGACCAGGGAAAGCAAGACACCTCACTAAACAAGTACAACATGGCGTATGCGTAATAAACTTGAAGTTTTGCAAGAAAATTTACTTATTTAAAGACCAAAAAAAGATATATATAACAATATTTTCTAGACTTTTCCCACATAATTAATTAATAATAATTATAAGTAATTAATTAAACGCGCTAATCGCGATTCCCTTTCCCCTAAATCACCGCCACAAGCAATAAAGTGCAACAAAAAGTGAAAATAACTGCCAACAAAGATGCATTGGGCATGAAATGTAGCCAGGAGGAAGGAGCATTCAATCAGACAGCTCGCTGTTGCGTGTCCTTGAGACCTGTGTGCACAATCCCCGTGCGATCCCAAACGATAGCCCAATGTAGTTCATCATCAATCATGCTTCGAACAGGAAATCGTTACGGCGCCAAGCACAAAAGCTGTCAGTGCCAACAGAGGTTCCTCCTCGTGGACTGGACTGGACTGGACTGGACTGGACTGGACTGGACTGGACTGGACTGGACTGGACTGGACTGGGCATGGGCCTGCCTGCAGGTGACGCTTGGTGGTGACTCCCCTGCAGGTGATGGCAGAAATCGCGAAAAGATTCCCATGGCTTGGCCTCTGGACCCGTGCAGCAATATGGCTGCAATCCGCCTCCGTTCGTTTGCGTTATTAAGAGCTGAAGTTGGAAAAGTCCCATCATGCTGGTGGGTGGGTTCCTAGTCTTTCTCTATATTTAACCTTGCTTTTCCCGGGAAGGAAGGAAGTTCCTTTGGTTCCCTCCTCCTTTGGCTTCTCCTTTTTCCCTTCTCCTGTTATTCTTTTTGTGGCGCTTGCCGGGATTACTTGGCTCGTTATAAAAATAAAACAAATTAAGGCAGCAAATGCAACACGACAGGCGACAGACGGACACGAAAGAGCATCGGATAAGTCCAGAGGAGAGGGTGGAGTACTGGAGGAGAAAGGACAGAGGATTGGCCCAGGCATCCGCAGGAATTTTGAAATTTTTTTCTGCGAACTGCAGAGGTAACTTTGCTTTATGCCTTTTGACTTAATTAAGCCTTGCCTCGGTTTATTTCCCTTTATTTTTTATTTTTATATTTTTTTTGTTAATTGATTCTCACAGTTGTGTGTGTTTTTTTAAGCTTTTTCCATGTTTATTAAACAAATACCTGAGGTTTTAGCTGCCTGAAGCTGGATTTAACTAACTTTTGTTGGGTGTAATTTCTGTGAATACTTTTTCATAAAGTTAAAGTTGTAATGCCAGTAATTAATAAATATGAGAACTTTGTGTGGCAAGGATAGGGGTATACCCTTTTTTTCCTTGCCTAGAGCGTATTCTGCCAGACTAAAAGTAAATGTTTATAATTACTTTGTGTGGTAAGTATGCTTTTTTCCTTGACCAGTGAGTATTTGTAGGGGAAGAAATGTCTAGTTTTCTCAGTTTTCCTTTTAAAACAAATGTCAAAGGTGGATTATTTATTTTTTATTTATTTTTTGTTAATTGTGTTTTTTGTTTAGATTTACTGTGGTTTTAGCTGCCTGAAACTTGATTTAACCAAATTTTGTTGGGTGTAATTTCTGTAAGTATTTTTCATTAAGCTTATAAAGTTATTCTGCTAAAAGTAATTATTAAACATGAGAAATTTTTGTGTTAAGGATATTTATATCCTTTTTTTCCTTGACTATAAAGTATTTGTATCTGCATCTGTATCCGTTTTCCATCTATAAAACCCACATGACTTTTTAAAACGAATCTCAAAGATGCATTTCAATTAAAGTGGGAGAAAAAACCACAACTACTTTTGCTATGTTTTATTTTAAAACTCATTTTCAGTAGGAAAAAAGTTGTAGAAACAATTAATTGCTTATTTGCCGCCACAGGCCACTTGTCTTGGCAATTTTTTGCTTTATAAAATCAAGTTCTCATGGCTCCTTTTCTAAGCTTCAACTTCAATTCCTCCTCCTCCTTCTTTCAGGCATTAAAGGAGCGCAGCATCATGATGTACGACATGGCGGAGCGGACAATCTACAGTCGTTGAATAGTTAAAACCAAACAGAGATTACTCCTACTCCTCCTCCTCCTCCTACTCACCGTTGAAAACGTGGCCATGCTGGCCTCGAAAAAATACCCCTTCATCTGGCACGGCCTTTGGGCCCGCATGGCGGCTATGAGCAGCGCCCTTTTGGTGGATGGTGTAAACTCCGTCCAGGCACTCTCGTAGATCCCATTTCCAAAATCCTGGCTGGCACTCTTGATATTCTCCCCACACTTTGAGTAAATAAACAAAGCAATTAGCAGCGAGCCCACAAAGGCAATAAAGTACAGGCTCTGCGGCTTGGGAAATAGATCCGCCACCTGGAAACCAATGAAGCAGATCTGCAGGGCCGAAAGAAAAAACTGCAGAAAGATCAGCGGCCTATACTGATCAGCAATATGATCGGCTATATGCAGGCCCTTTTGGTGCAGCAGCAAAATCTGGACCAGGCTCTCCAGCTCCTCCCTGCCGCCCACAGCCGGCAGATGGATCATCCGATGCTTGGCTATCTTGAAGATGGCACACACGTTGTACGTGAAAAAGAAAAGCAAAGTGTCCACGCACAAGGCCATGGTCACCTGCCTGGGAGAGTGAGTATAACTGGGAGTCGGAAATCTTTACCTCACTCACCGCACTATAGCTGGCCATGACATTCCACAGATAGGTGGGCACATACCACCAGACTACCTGCAGATCCCAGGGATACACGCCATTGTGGGGCAACTCCAGATGGATGCCCGAGTCGCCAACGCTGCCTCGGATTAGGGAAACCACAATGGCCACAAAGGGCTTGATGGCCGCAAAGATTCCAGCCAAACCAAAGCATCTGGTGTAGGTCAAGCTAAGCATCTGATCGCTTTGGTTTTCCTCGTCCACAATACCCCTAGCATCTGGCCAGACGCTAATCTCTAAAAAGAGCAAGGACTTAGGGCATCTTCATTGGATGAGCCCTCTTCCACTTCTCTCACCCTTGTCGAGAATCCCACGGATGCGATAGATGAGACCCACAAACTGCTTGCGGTAGTAGCAGAAGAGCAGAAACTTGACCAGGGTCAGCATGCTGGCGAACGTGGAGCCCAAAGTGTCGGACAGCAGGCTCACCTGGGTGATGTATGCGCGGGCGGCCAGGAACATGGGCACCATGAACACAAACAGGGGGCCCATGGTGACGAACGTCAGCAGCCGGCGGTCATTGGAGCTGGTGGGGCTCCATAGGTCGATGCCCATGCAGCGATAAACGAGTATCTGGACGCGGAGAGATTTATCCTGCTTGTCCTGACGCGATCGCTGGGGCTCCTGTTCCTGCAGCTCCTTTTCCTTTGTTGGCTTTCTAGGTGCGTCACTCATCTTGAACACCCGGATTATACGGTGGGTTCATGCCCATCGTGTGGCTTTTATAGGGGCAAAGCAAGGGGTGTGGCAAACAGTGGCAGTGTCACAGCGAAAGTACAGTGGAACCCCGCTGAGGTGGCACATCCTAGCTTAGTTATATTTTTTTTTTTTTCATTACGAAGGCAGAAGAGGCACAAAGGGACAAAGAAAGGGGTGTGGCAGTGTCACAGCGAAAGTACAGTGGAACCTCGCTGAGGTGGCACAGCCCAAAGGTTAGAAGAAGGCATCTCCCACCCCCTAATCATCATCTATATAAGTTTTTCCAATCCCCAAATTCATTAATATATTACCTACTTTTACAACTTCTAAAATTTCCATTACCGAAGCTTTACTGTAATTTTTTTAGCCGAGTTTAGAGGCGTAGGATTTGGCACTGCTTTCATTTAATATGCATTTTTTTTTTGTTGCCCAGAAAAGAGGGGTATGTGGGTGTGTTTAAGGAATTCAAGTGCATTCATGGCTCTAATTACAGGATTTTTTTTTTTTTTTGGCCTTTCACTTTCATTCTTTGAGTCTTCTTGACAATCAAATGGCAGCCCCTGGGTTCCCAGGAAGTGCATTATAATTTTAATGAGTCTCTGGAAATATGAGCCACCGCACAAGCCGCGCATATATGTAGATATGGCAAGGCGCGAGCCCAGTAATTAGATGCGATTTGCCAAAGCTGCCATTGACATTTGATAAGAACCCTGTAATTTTCCACAAGCCAAGACTTGGGTTTAAATATTTTGAAATTGCCAGGCTTAAAGTTCAGCGACTGGTGGCCTTTAATTAAGAGGGAAGAATAAATATATACAGTGTGATTTACAGGTGACTTTGGGATCAGAAGAACCTTGCCTTGAAGACAAAGGCTTCGCAGAGGCTGGCAACGACTATAAAAACATATAAACCTTTCAGAATGTATCTGATATCCCACCCCTCAAATCCTAGAAATCCTAAATCGCTGCTACGGCAGCTTTAGTAGATATACATATATAATAATAATAGTCTTGGCTTGAACTTACCCGCTTTACATCGTATTTCATCGCTTTTCAACTTTTTACATCGCTTTTCGTCGCTTTACATCGCTTTTCGTCGCTTTACATCGCTTTTCATAGCTTTTCATTGCCGCACCGCAGGCTTGGCTGTGTCATCAATGATTCATTTCTTCGCTTGCAGGGATTCTTGGTGATTTTTCACTATTATAATAAGAGCTTGCACATTCCCCGGAAAACGGCACTTTTCCGGCGGTCATCCAGATTGGTTGAGGATGCGCAGGTGTTGGGTATACGCGAGGGGAGACGCGCACATATTGAGATTCATTGATCATTAACTCCTTCGGTTCCAGTGATTCTTGGTGATTTTGCTCGATTATTATTATTTTCCGCAAGTCATCCCGGAGAGTTGGGATGGACACGTCACAGGTAAACACGAGGGAAGGCGAGGGGTCGCGAGGGGAGGCGCTTTTCATCGCTTTGCATCGCTTTTCGTCGTTTTACATCGCTTTTCGTCGCTTTACATCGCTTTTCATAGCTTTTCATTGCCGCACCGCAGACTTGGCTGAGTCATCGATGATTCATTCCTTCCATTCCAGGGATTCTTGGTGATATTTCACTATTATAATAAGAGCTTACACATTCCCCGGAAAACGGCACTTTTCCGGCGGTCATCCAGATTGGTTGAGGATGCGCAGGTGTTGGGTATACGCGAGGGGAGACGCGCACATATTGAGATTCATTGATCATTAACTCCTTCGGTTCCAGTGATTCTTGGTGATTTTGCTCGATTATTATTATTTTCCGCAAGTCATCAGAGTTGGGATGGACACGTCATAGGTAAACGCCTTCGATTCCATAAGGTTCTTGGTTATTTTGCATGTTTATTATAAGAACTTTGACTTTTTCAACGATGTGACACTTTTCCGCAAGTCATTCCGGCGAGTTGGGATGCACACGTCACGAGGTAAACACGAGAGGACGCGCGCACGCGTGTTACTCGGGGGGAGGCGCACTAACTAAAGCTGCGGCGGGAGAGGGGGCTGTAGTCATAGGTAGCTAGAGGGAGAAAGCTTGATCGAGACGGAGAAAGAGAGAGAGAGAAAGGTTGAGAGCAGCGCTGAGAGTAGAGCTGAAAGCTGAGCTGATAAGCGAGCTGATAATGTTGGATAAACAAACACACACACACACACTTCTTGTAAGAGAGCGGATTAGAGATGACTAATTTCTCTCAAATTATCATATCAGCTCTAAGCTTAGCTCTCAGCTCCGCTCTCAGCTCCGCTTTCAGCTTATAGTGTTTTACTCTCTCTATCCAACTTTCTATAACTCTCTCTATGTTTCTCGCTCTATACATTTCATTCTTTTTTTTATTATTTTAATTGTGAATAATTGGTTGCATTCAATTAAGCGTATGTCTTTTAATTATTAACTAATCCCTTTTTAAATTATAAAAATTCCATTGAATTGAAAATTGGCGAACTTTTTTCAAAAAAAGCTAGTATTTTTTCCGATGTTGAAATTAATTATCGATGTATCGCCTTGCTCAAAACAAAGATACTATCGATTGCAACATCGTTGTGCGTGCAGCCCTGTCAGTTGTATAACCTCAGCCGAAAATCTTTTATTGTCGCTTGCAGCAGCTCGAAATCGTACAAATAAACCCAAAAGTAAGTGGAGTGCAATGGCCAGGGCCTCTGCCGAGCCCGCAACTAATCCTTTCCATGTTTTTAACCCACAGCAATGGCTGGCGAAGGCGAGAAACTGACCGGCCTGTCGAAAATCTTCAATGGCACCACCATGGCCGGCCGTGCAAACGTGAGTAGCAGCGTGACGTTCTCCCTGGGTCCGTGGAGCTAATCCTGGTATTGTAATCCTCTTTTGCAGGTGGCCAAGGCCACGTATGCCGTGATGGGCCTGCTGATTGCCTACCAGGTGCTGAAGCCCAAGAAGAAGTAGAGAGCTCGCTTCATATGCGTGCCCACCAGCAGCTGAGGATGATGCGGATGATGAGCCGTCGCCAGACTCTGGATCTATGGCGCTGCTGCTGCCGGCAAACAAGAACACTCCGGCAGAAGACGTTCCCTGTGCGGGGGCGTGTATATTTTATGTGTAGTGCAAGGCCTTGAAGGAATAAATAAGTTGAGAATGTAACACACTGAAACCCCCATATGCGTGGTTATGTAACGATCCGGATGAAGCTACTGGCTCTTGGGAAGAGTCTCGGCACCGCTAGAGAGCTTTACCAGTGATCTGGGATACGGGAAAAAGGCAGTGAATGATCGGTATTTGCAGGTTCTCTAGGAATAATGGAAGGTCTATTATAGACAGTATTTCTGTTTGCCTTTAACCAAGTTTCTTAAATAGCTTACCTTTATTGTTAGTGAAAAGATCATATAACCGTTTAAAAAGTATTACCTTTATACCTACCTCTAGGCCATTTCAACAAAATGTATTTACATATATAAAGGTGGCCCATACTGAAATACTTCATTTAACCTGAAATAAGGTAAAGAATAGGCCTAAATTTACACACAATTTAAAGCCAAAATGATCTAAAAACTTAAACTTAACACCTTAGAAATACATTTCATAAATGCTGTTCAAGATCATCTAGAAACCCAGGAAAACAAAATCCAAAGCAAACTACTTTAAAAATTTAATGTTCTCCTAGGAAATTACCAAAAGTTCGACTTTGATATTCTTATTTTTTTTTGTTGTTTTCGTTTTAATATTTTATTTAAAGTTTTTATTTCATTTCAAACTTGCTTTAAATTTCCTTTCTTTTTCGTGGGACTTTTGGGGGGTTGGCCAAGGGGGGGGGGTTTGGTAGGGCTTCACCCCCGGCGGCTTATCGAAATTTCAGTATTACTACAAATTAATTTGAATGAATTGAATGTAAAAATGGTTTACATATACTTGTATGCCATGTAATCTTCTCCACCCGGGCCATCCTGCATTCTCTCATTCTCATTTTCATTCTCTTCTCTACTCCACACCTCGTCAGCTCCTAATATTCGTGCTCCTACAATCGGTTTCTGTGCTCCTCATCGTTATTGGTATCGTTAATCGTTAATCATGCTTAATCCTGCTGCTGTCGCTATCCTTGTCTTGTCTGCGCGCGCGTTTTGGTGGAGACGAAAAACCAGAGACGATGCATTTTAAAATATAGGTATAAATTAATGTTTATATCATTTATCAATTATATATGCTATAATATACCTTTTACATGTATTGTGTGAAAGCAAGCTTGCTTCGTTTACGTTTACGTTAATGTTTATATACTTGTCATTCATTTAATTTGTGTTTTTTTTTTACTTTCGATTTCTTGTTTCTTTCTTTGTTTTTTTTTTAATAACTAAACATTGCCTGGCTTAGCAAATAACCCATTTTGTGTGGGCGTGGCTGGGGGTGTGTGTGTGTGTGTAGGGGGTTTCTGTGTGTGTGTGTGAGGAGTAATTAATATCGCTATATGCACTTTGATGCCATTTGAAATAATGTTTCTGTTTTGTTAGCAGCCTAGCGGAAAGTGCCTTGCTTTTGCCTTTGTTTTATATATATTTCTTATATTTTTTTTTTCTCTTTTTTAAATTTTTCCTCATTCATTTTGCTTTGCTTTTATTTTATGAATTCTACTACATTTAGTGGGAGGGGGGGCGGTATCCCGAGGGCGTGACAGGGATCCCGCTCACCGGGTTGGCTTCGGGAATTGAAGGAGATCCCGTGCCTCGTTTTTATTTTTAATTTATTTATTAATTTTTTGCGGGTCACGAGGATAATTTGTATTAATTACTGGTAATTACTGTGTGTGGGCTTCCGCGTTTTTTCGTTAAAAATGTTTGCTTGGAGTGTTTGCTGTTTGTCCCTTTTGTTTTTTTTGTTGTTTTCGCTTGGATTTTGCCTCTATAATGTATATGTAGTGTATGTGTGTGTGTGTGTGTTTAGTTTATGCCATACATATCATATCCTTGTTAAGTTACAGTTACATAATGAATTACACATTTATATAAATTGTTGAAATTTCAATTTGTTTGCGTTACGTTATGTGACGTAACGCATTGCGTTACGCTCCCCTACTACCTTGAGCATATTTTTTATGTTCGATCTTTTTTTTTCTCCTTTCGATTGCAGCTTTTGCTAATTATCGCCGGCAAACGGCCGAGGTGGCAGCACTGGCTGCTGGCCGGCGGCAACGTTGCCACCCGTGTGCGATTGCGCTGAACACTTTTTTGTTTTTTCAAATTTAAGAAGCTTGGTTCCATTTTGGTTTTTTTTTTCGTTTCCCATATTTTAGAGGATCAGGGTTCTGTCATCATATATATATATATATATATATATATATATATATATATATTTATAACAGTGTGTGTATTTTATATAGGAGCCCGCAGAGTACAATTTGTGACGCAATTGTCTGTTGTTGTTTATAAGACAAGATTTCTATATGTATGTATTTGTTTTACTTTTTGAACTTAACTTTGCGCTTAAACAAACTCTCCCTCCTTTACTCTCCATATCTCTGTCTCTGTCTCATTCGATCTCTCCTTCTGTTTCATTCCACCTTCCTTTTCGCCACCTTCTCTCTCACACACACTGCCTTTGTCTCTGTCTGGTTCGCCTGTCTACACAGATAGATCGATATCGATAGATATTTAGATAGATACGATAGATTGTATATATAATGTATATTGTAGCATAAACATAAATTAGAATTATTAGTTGATTTTTTTTTTGTTGTTTGCAAAAAAGTTAAACAATATGTATGTATATATATATATAAAAAAATTAAAGGATACGCAGTGCCAAAGGTTCATTATGTTTGCTTTTTCGTTTTGTTTTTTGTTTGTTTAAAGAGAGAAAGAGAATCTACTACAAAAAAATAATAAAGGTAATATAAAAGTAACATATTATTATGTAAATTTGTTTGACAAAAAATACACTGCTATTTTATGTAAGTATGTATGTATATATGAAGATTTTATGCACGTGGTTGTGTGTGGGTGTGTGTATGTGTAGTGTTGTGTTTTTGTTGTTGTGTGTTTTGCTTTAAATATTTCTTCTTGCAATTATTTTGCTTACATGATTTTGCCTGCCTTGTTTTAACTAGTTTTTCTCATCTCACTTTCGACTTATGCCTTTGCGTTTATGTTCGCTACTATTTGTTGTTGTTGTTTTCTGGAGACTTGCTCTGGTTGTTGCTCTTTTTGTTACTCTTGTTCTTGCGTTGCGGTTGTGGCGGAGAGGTTCCTCCCCCCCGCTCACTCACACTTTCTCTCGGTCTCTTCTGGTTCTTCTCGCTTGGACTTTACTTTCCCTTTTCTCATCTTTCCTATTTTCTTCACAATCCTTTACGTTCCGATTCTTGGTTTAGTTCTCCTCCTGGCTTCCAGCTTCTCCACTCCTCGGCTACTCCTCCATGTCCCTCCATAAACGCCTGTGTGTGTCCGTGTCCATGTCCATGTGGGGGCTGCTAGTATTTGGGTGGTGGTGACCCGGGAGTTGACCATGTCCACTTAGCACTCAGTTTGCATGCCACTCCCCTCGATTGGCTCCGCCGCCGGCACCCGTTGCATTGTTAGCATAATACGGCTTGCCGGGTCCAGTGCCCGTTGCACCGCCAGCTCCACCTGGTCCACCGGCTCCACCTGGTCCACCATTGCCGCCATTGTTACCACCGGGCGGTCCTACCGGTGTTTGGCTGCCGCCACCGGCACTGCCGGCAACGCCACCTCCACCACCGCCGCCGCCGCCACCGCCTCCAGTGACCTGACGCATGTTTTGGACGCGCTGCTGTGCCGCCGCCGCTGCAGCTACAGCGGCCGCTGCCTGATCCCGCTGTTGATGCTGCTGCTGTTGCTGTTGCTGCTGCGGATGTTGGGGGGTAGTTGTTGGGTCTTTGGATAGGCGTGGGATATCGTCCCTGGCCGCCGCCGCCACTCTGACCCACACTGCCAACACCGTTACCGCCGCCGCCGCCATTGCCGCCCACCTGGGAGCCACCGCCGCCTCCATTGCCGCTGCCACTGCCCACGGCACCGCTTCCACGGCCGCCAAGGGCATTCATATTCCCATTGCCGCCGTTGCCGCCGCCTTGCCGCTGCTGTTGCTGCTGCTGTTGAGATTGCTGCTGCTGCTGGAGCACCTGGTTCTGCAGGTCCCACTGGAAAGGAGAGGGAACAGGAACATTGAGCATGGGTAAAGCCAGAAAGCTAGCTGGTTAGCACTTACGGCGCCGTAGTTCTTGTGGTGCGGCGGACTGGGCTGCGACTGCACCTGCTTGGCCAGGCCGAGGCTCATGTCTGCGCTCAACGGACTCTTCAGCTGGCGGCCCATCTGAAGAAAGGATACAAAAAAAGAAGAGTTTAAAATAGTTTAGAAAAATAAAACATCAAAAGTAACCAAAAAACCCTGCTTTTCTGCACTTTTAAGTTGAAATCTTTTGAAATTTGCGAATCAAAAAAATATATATTCCAGTTTTTGAATCCAAAAAGCTTTCAAACTGCATTAAATTATATTATTCATATTATATTTTACACCTAAATAACTTAAACAAATTGAAAGAAAAGCTTTAAAAAGACAACGTAATAACATACAACTCATTTTTGGCTTATTTCTCATAATTTTCCTTAAATCTTGATTCTTGTTTCTTGATCTCATCTCTTTGGTTCCCTTGACTTGCTCTTCATCATCGCCTCCTCCTTTCCTCCACCACCTTTCTTGCCTTGGCTTACCGAGTCTTGCATGTGTCCTTGCCCTTGGCTGCCCTTGAGATATGCCGCTCCCGGCGTTGGTCCGCCACGGTACTGATTTATATTCGCCGCCGTCAGCAGCTGCGAGTTCATAAACTGCGTGTTGAAGGTGCCCATCGTGTGCTGCGATTGCGGCGGCGGTCCAGGCGGTCCATTGGAGCCCGGTGGTCCGCCCTGATGGCCACCATACATCCCAGCCGCTGTGGCCAAGCCATAGCTTTGCGCACCGCCATTGCCCTGAGGCGGTGGTCCGCCATAGAACTGGGGTCCACTGGGACCACCGGGCGCCGAATTCGAGTAATAGCTATTCGACTGCAACTGATGGGCACCGGGCGGCGGACCACCCTGACCCGGATGCTGCGGTGGCGGTGGTCCCGCATAAAGATTCATATACTGTTGGGCGGTATAGGGACCGGATCCTGGTCCGGGTCCTGGTCCTGGTCCACCCGGACCACCACCACTGCCCGCCGACTTGGAGCCTATGGCCCCGATAGGCTGCTGGCTGGGCGGCGGCTTGGCCGCGCCCGATGACATCATAGAGCTGCTGCTGGACGAGATGATGGCCACTGCTGCCGCATGATTGCTGGGATTGCTTAGCTGCTGTGAACTGGGCTGGCCAAAGGGTCCGCCAGGTCCGGGGCCGGGACCACCGCCCAAACGGAACTGCGACGAGAGATTTGAGTACATATCCGGGGTGGGCGCTGTGGGTGGCAGATTACCGCCGTGCGGCGTTTGCATTGCGTACGCGTTTACGTTGACATTGAAGGGTCCACCGCCAGCGGCTGCTGCCGCCGCAGCCGCTGCGGCCGCATAATGGCCCGGAAAGCTGTGGGCGGCCGCCGCCGCCGAGTAAGCGGGCGAGCGGCTCGAATGATCGAGCGAATGGAATGGAGCGTACAGATTAACGCCCTGCGCCGGTGGCGGCGGCGCCATCTGTGACGAATTGAATACCGCCGCCGGCGGGCTGGGGATTGTGGGAATGCCTCCGACGCCGAACTGTGGTGACGCCTGATAGAACGACGGCGGCTGCTGCTGCTGTTGATGGGCTTGGAGCTGCTGCTGCTGCTGTTGGTGTGCCTGCTGCTGCTGCGAGTGCTGCTGCTGCTGCTGGCTGGGCGGTGGCGACATGCCCAAATGCTGCTGCTGCTGGAGTTGCTTGGCCTTCTGGTGTGCCTGCTGGGGACTCGGGTAGTCCTCCTGCTGGAACTGCTGCTCCAGGGAGCCGGCATCGAAGGGCGAGCCATGGCCATAGCCATGGCTATGTCCGCCGGGCACCGGGCCTGGCGAGGAGAGCGCATGATGCTGGTGGTGCGCCTGCTGCTGCTGCTGCTGGTGGTGCTGCGCCTGCGCCGCTGCCACCGCTGCCGCCTGCTGCTGGTGGTGATGGCTCTGCATGTGCACCGCCGATACTGCATAGTGGGGCATCTGCTGGTGCTGCTGCTGCTGCTGTTGCTGCTGCTGCTGCTGCTGGTGCTGAGAAGCAGCCACTGCAGCAGCCACAAAGGAAGCTGCACTCATGTGGCCACCGCCATCGTCGCCAGCCTGCTGCTGCTGGCCCACAACCTGCTGCTGCTGTTGTTGCTGCTGCTGCGAACCCACCTGCGACTGCTGTTGGGGTTGCTGCTGCTGTTGTTGCTGCTGCTGCTGCTGTTGCACCTGTGCCGGTGAGGGTACCTCCGACATGGGCGTGGCCGACTCCCACACCTTCTTCACGCTGGCTATCTTCATGTTGAGATCTGCCGTCGAGTTGTTTTGCTGCTGCTGCTGGGAGTGTTGCTGCTGCTGCTGGCTGGGCGTCTTTTCGATGGCCTCCACCTTGAGTGGCGTGGTTGGATCGTCGCCAAAGCTGAAGCCCAGTTTCATGTCCTGAGAGTCTTCGCCGGCGCCCGTCGCCTTGCTGCTGCCGAAGGTCATCTGGGAGAGGGCGCTGGACAGGCTTTCCACAGTGTTGGGCGAGCTGCCGGCTACTCCTCCACCTCCACTGGACACTGTAAGCGTACTAGCAGGCTTGACCACCACGGCAGAAGCCGCTGCTTGCTGCTGCTGCTGCTTGTACGTGGAGTTCTCAAAGATGATCGTGTTGACGGGAGCGCCGGCTTCCAGTAATAGATTGGATGACGGACCCGATCCCACGGCACCAAGCGGTGTCTTTTCGCCAATGGCGGGCAACTTACCGCTAGAAGCCTTCTCGCCGCCAACCACCGAGCAGGAGTCGTTCTTCTTCTTGTCCGCTGAACCAGAAAGTGCTCCAACTGAAGTGGTTGCTGCAGAGGAGGCTGCTGTGGCCGCTGAGGATAGGCCGGGCGGTAGACGGGCCGGCGAATCCTTCTGCTGCGCCTCGTCCTTGGCCAGCAGGGCAGTGTTGTGGGTGGCAGTCTTGTCCTTCTCCTCGCCACTGAGGGCGGCGGACCCATCCTTGTCGTCCTTGTTGGGTTTGTGCAGGCCGGCGCTGAGTGCCAACTGATTCTGCTTGGTCTTGTCCAGGTCCGCCTCCGACTCGGAGGTGCGCTGCTGCTTGCCGTATTCCTCGTAGCCGAGCCTGCCATAGCTGCGTGTTCCTGCTCCTCCTCCTGAATTTCCAGTGGAACCAGTGCCAACGGGTTGTCGGCGGTAACCAGGAGCGGATCCACCGCCGCCGCCGCCTCCGCTGGACAGACCGCCGCGTCCACGCCGCGAGGGTTCACCGCGGGGCGAGAAGCCAGCCTTATTGGCGACAGCCTGGCCAGAACCAGGAGCACTGCTGCCAGATTCTTTGGGGCTGCGACGTGCCGCTCCTCCTGCACCACCGCCTCCTCCGCTGCTGCTGTAGCATTCCTCATCTACATCCTCCGAGTGTTCAGATTGCTCGCCGCCGCTGCCGTAGTAACGCCTACCACCGCTGCCGCGACTGCTGCTCCAGTCACTGGAGCTCCTCTGGCCACGATAGCCACTGCCTGATCCCACGGAACCAGCGGCTGATCCGCCACTGCTACCGCCATAGGTGCGTCCTCCACGACCTCCTCCTCCTCCTCCTGCACCTGGTGCTGCGCTTCTGGGACTGGGTCGCTGCTTATTACCCGACTTGTCCTCCTCCACCTTGCCCGGTGCCACCTTTGCCTTGTCATCCACTTCCAACGAAGACTTGTCATCCAGCAGCTTCTCCTCGACGGGTTTCTCGATCTCAACACTTCGCCGCAGTATCTGCGTGGGCATGGTCTCCGCCGGCAGTGACTTTTGCTGCTGTGGCGAGGCCGGCAGTGGCTTCTGCTGGGCCGAGGAGGACTCCTCGCTGAGGCTTGGCTGCCTGGCCGGCCGTTGCAGGATCTTAATTTGAACCGCCGAATCGTGACTGTGGCTCGAGGAGAAGCTCTCCTCTCGGTGTCGATGATGAACCTTTTGCTCGGCGTCTGTCTGCTCCGCCCACGAAGAGGAGCCCGATCCGGGGCCCATGGCGCCGACAGATTCATCGCCAGCAGACGAGACGCTGGTCTTGCGGTGCGAGTTCTCGGAGATGCTTCGTGGCAGTGCCTGTGCCTGGCGATAATCCTGGCCGCGGGTAAATCGCTGCTGCTGCTGTTGCTCCAATTCCTGATCCTCTCGAGCACTGGCACTGTCGTGGCGATTGCGTCCGTAGCCACCGCCGCCGCCACTGTTTCCTCCGACGCTGCCTCCACGTTGCGCATAGCCGCCAGAAATGGTGCGTCCCTGGCCGCTATTGGCCGATGCTCCACCACCAGTTGCTCCTCCGCTTACGCCACCCTTTTGTAGGTAACGGGAATTGCTGTCAAAGGCGCTGCTGGCTGAGGCGCTCTTCTCTAGGCGCGGCAACTGCTGCTGCTGTTGCTGTTGCTGCTGACGCTGGAAACGGGGTGGTAAATTCGATTGGAAATGGGTGAGGAAAACGGTCTTTTGACCGTAGTCGCCGCCTCCGGCCGACGACGGGGAGGCAGACACCCCTCCGCCGCCAGCTGCTCCCGTGGGTGCAGCTCCACCGCTGCCTAGGCTGGAGATGCTACCACGCGGTCTTCTATGCTGGCCTCCGCCTTCATCTTCGCTAACGTTACCCAGTGGAGCGGTGGACGGTGGTGGCGCCTCGCTGGATGATGAAGCGGATGCTGAAGAGGATGCTCCTCCTCCTCCCTCGGCTCCTGCCAAAGCAGCTGCCGCCGCCTTCTTGCTGTTCATCTTCATCTCAAGCTCCTGCAGCTTCTTGGCTGCCGCCTGCTTGCGCTCCATTTCGCGGCGCTCCTCCTCCTCCTTGCGCTGCTTCACCCGCTCGTATACACTGGCATCCAAAGCGATACCACCGGCCACTGGAGCTCCTACGTTGCCAGAGCTGCCACGATGACCATTCTGCTGGCGAATATCCTGCTGCTGCTGCTGATCCTGTCCTGATCCTTCTGGCGGCTGCTCGCGCTCACTACTCTCCTTGCCGCGCTGCCAGCTGGAGGCAACGGTGGAGCTAGAAAGCTTGCGTTGATCTGATGAGGAACCCTGCAACTGCAGCTGTTTGCTGCTTTGACCCTGGTGCTCCTCCGGAGTGGACTCGTCGTCCGAGAATGTTAATTTCTTCGTATAGTCAATGTCATCCTGCTTGGTCCAGCTGTCATCCTTGGCGATGGCATTGAGGCGCTCGAGGTCCTCCTCGCGGATAATTGGCCGCTGCATTTGGGCCACCTCTGGCTCCACCACATAGTCCTTGTCCTTGCGTCCTGCACCTACGCCGTTAGCCTGCTGCTGCTGTTGCTGCTGCGGAGGAGTGGGAGAGCCTCCAGTTGGCGAGGAGGCGGCCGGTGGACGCTTGGGTATGGCAGCGGCCGCCCGAAAACCGCCGCCGCTGCTGCCAACCACCGCTGGCGAGGCGGATCGAGCACCCAGAATGCCATTCTGATAGGGAGCGCTTGGCAATGCCGTCGAATCCAAGGAACCGCCGGCCAGGATCGAGGCAGCTGTCGTACCTGAACCCGGCAAGGGAGCACCGCTGCGCATAAACGAGGGCATTAGGGAGAGAATGGGTAGGGGCACGGCGCCGCCGCTTGATCCACTGCCTCCGCCAGGGCCACCGCCGTTACCCGCCATCTGGTGATGGTGGTGGCCCGGGCCCTGTAGGTTGAGACCCTGGTCCGCCGCCGCTGCCGCTGCTTCCTTGGCCGCCTTCTCTTGCTGCTGCAGCCATGCTGCCGTGTCGTTCTGTGGACGAAGACTCAGTTCGCCCATCTCTCCGCCGACGTCGTCGCTGCCATCTCTGTAATCGCGATGCGAGTGGTGGCCATACTGGCGACCGTGGCCATGGTGGTAGTCCCGATGGTGCTGGTGCTGCTGCTGCTGGTGGTGATGGTGTTGTCCCCCCTGGTGGTGCTGCTGCGAATGCTGGTGTTGTTGTTGTTGATGATGGTGGTGGTGGTGGTGGTTTTGCTGGCTGGCATGATGCGATTGATTCTGGAAGTGGCTCTTGCCTGCTCCAGCTCCTGATCCTACACCCGCACCCGATCCACCGCCGCCGCCGGCGCCGCTGCCAACTGTGCCGTCCAGCGTGGGGAATTCGTACTGAAACTGGGGACTCTGATAGTGGGGGACTACCTGCTGCTGCTGCTGGTGCTGAGACTGGCGGCCAAAGTGTTGACCCCCCGAGCCCCGCTCGTGTCCTGTGGTAATGGCAGACCATGTTTTGGGCGAGTTGACCGAGTGTCCGCCGGACCCAGATCCTCCTCCGCCTCCTCCTCCTGTCGAAACGACGCCTGATGATCCTCCTCCTCCGCCGCCGCCGGAGTTGTTGATTAGTTTAAAGTTTTTGTTGCCGCCGCCGGAGCTAGCGTTGTTGTTGATGCTACTACTGTTGCTGCTGTTCACAAACTTGCCAGAGTTGAGGCCAAGGCCGACGTTGTTGTTGTGATGGTGCTGCTGGCTATGATGGTGGTGCTGCTGCTGCTGTTGGTGTTGCTGATGATGTCCGCCAGTTACAGACGCAGCTCCTCCGCCGCTGCCAGCTACCGATCCGCCGCCTGCTCCTACCGCTCCTGAACCTCCGCTATGGGCAGTGGTGTTGTTGTGGCTAGTATTGGATCCAGCCGCGCCCGTTCCCGAAGCTCCGCCTGCGCCCGCTGCTCCCGATGTAGCTCCTGCAGCAAAAAACAAAGAAATGGTTATAAATATGTCAATAAGCCAGGAAGTACGCTATCCAAGACCCACCTTCGACTGAGACTAGGAGACTGTTGTTGTTGGTGCTGGTGTTGGTCTCGGCCTTCAAGGATGGCAGATTGGCTGGTGGTCGCCTAGCGGACGGTACTTTGCCCAAGATTTGCATTCCATGTTTACGTGGCACTTGATTCTTTTGTGCAGATGGTTCACTCGACTCGCCCTGCATATGGATAAGAATGTGGATGCAGATGAGGATATGGAGATACACAGATACGAGATAAGGGATGCACGGATTCAGAGGAAAGATACTTACACGGCTATTCTTGTACATGCGATTTATATCCAACGCTGTGAATTTGGGCTTGGCATTTCGCTCTCCCCTACTTCCCCCCAGTGTACTCATGCTGCCAATAGATCCTCATTAGCGTTAGCTTCCTTGTCGCCGCCGCCGCGCTCCGCTCTCTTCTCGACGCGCTGGAGGATGGGCTTTGGATGTCGCTGTGGATGCCGATGGGGTTGCCGCTGCTGTGGAGGCTCTCTCTCTCGATCTCGCTCTCGTTTTCTTGTGTTGGGGATCGCCGCTCTTCGGCTGGGAATCTTCTTGCCTCAGTCTTCCTGGTGAGCTGCAAAAGAGGAACGAAGATGGGTGTGGAGCGTGAGTAAGGAGTGCGAGCGGGGCAGGTGATCCCAGCAATTTGTTTACTGCACACATTGGGCTTTGTGGCTTTTGTTTTGGTACGATTGCTCAATTCTACACTACTCTACAAATTGTGCTCAGCCGGGTTGTTCTCTTCTCTTCTCCGTTCTGGTGCCGCTGCCGCCCGCTCCGCTCTGACCATGCCACCTTCTCACACCCACCGCCACAGCAGTGCGAACAATGTTTGGTGCGAGCGGGCCAGCCAGTGCCACGGAGCGCACGCAACTCATGCCGCTTAAGGTGGGCGGCTGTTGGAGCGAGATGGTTAGATGAGCGCCGTTCTCTCTCTCTATCTCTCTGCCCACACAGAGGCAGAAGCGGCAACGCATTGAAAGAAGTATTTGCGGTGGCGTCTTGTAATTATTGGTGGAGAAGGGGAGACGAACAATGGCTGACAACTACAACTATAACTGAAACTCAACAACAACAAAAGCAACGGGGGCTGTAAAAATTCTACCAACAACAATGGCCAGTGAAGAGCATTTAAAATGCAAGCAATTTGGGGATTTGCACGAATCAAATAGTTGGGGAAAAAGGGGGAGTTTGGGAGGCTAGCCAGGCAAGGCAAAACAATTGAATGCTTGGCAAGAATTATTTTTCCCTTTTTGTAATAACAACAACCATTGGCAGCCCACAGACTCGCACCACAGCACACCAACACACGCATGCACGCACACTCTCGTCCATTCTCGCAGAGAGCGAGCGAAAGAGAGACGACTACGACGCTGAGATGGCTTTGTTAGTTATTATTTAATCGCCGAGTGCAATTTTTTTGTTTTACCTTACTATGGTAGCCAGGACTTATTATTTATGTTTTTATGTCCTCAGAGGCGGGTGGAACAAACAAAAGGGCAATGGGAAGGGAAGGCACCGTAACATATACCGTTTAAACACCGCACTCACACAGACACACACGCACTTAGAGTTTGGTTTGTTAGAGCGAATGAAGAGACAGGGATGAGAACTGAAGTAAACTAAAATAAAGCTGCAAAATGTAGCCAATTGTTTACTTTTAATGCTTTGCTGCGAGCTGGCAAACTGTGGCGCCTGATTATGCGAATTTCGAATGCGGTTAACCGTTTCTTTTGCACAAAACTTTTAATTCTGCTTTCCACCGTCCAACACGAAGTTTGCCGCTGCTTCTTCTTCGCCGAGTTCTTCCTCTTCCACTTCGAACTGCTACTCGTTTCGCATGTATTGCGTGCGTGTGAGTGGTGTCGAGAACGGCGTTGCCATACCGGGCACAGGTATCGGAACAAACGGCGACGGCACCTAATGCGACTGCACCTGACAATTAATAAATGATTCGGGAGCCACGAGGCGACGCACCTTGGTTTTGATTGCCAATTACACGCAATTTGTGCCCAAACACAACGACAAAGGTGTATGGCAACAAAACGGAAAACCTGCCGCCTACAAATGCAACGCTGGCCAGTTGTGGGAGAGTGAGTGGGACAACACGAGGGCACTCGTGCGCTCCCTTACATACAGTAGATTTAACAAAGCCAGTATCGTTCACTTGTTATTCCCAGTTTTTATTGTGAACTGACGATACCGGTGCGATTCTCGAGAATTGCCAGAATCTGGGAATCCATACTGGCCACCCACCGGCCGCCAGATATCCAGAGTTTAGATTTCGCCATAGCTGCACGAGTGGCCAGCGTGGAAGCGAGCACGAGAGATTTCTACATATAGCTTACCCTTTCGCACGCAGAGCACACACCGCAAACACAGTTCGTTGCTCCTTGCCTCCTTTTTTGCACTCTTTCTGGCGCTTACTCAGCGCCCGTTCTGTCGTTTGCGAAAACGGAACGAAAACAACAAAAGCTCAACCGAAAGCACTGAAATGTTTGCTGTTAGCCGTTAGCTGTGGCGACACGTTTCACAGGCCTTTGTTTGCCAAGCAGCTGCCGCCGGAACCTGCGATTCTGCTTGGACTTGGATATTTGGTTGGATTTCGTTACGATTTTTGCCCGTCCCGTTTGCTGTGTTGCGCTGGCTGGCTGGCTTTGTCAGCGCACTCGCTCTCGCTCGCTCGCTTGCTTGCTAGCTGACCAACTCTCTTCTCTCCTCTCCGCTCCCTGTCGCCGTCTTTGTCGCTTCCTGCCTCTCGCTCTCGCGCGCGGCAACGGCGCTGTCGCTTTTTGCAAGTGTGTAGATGGAAAATTGTATCGGATCGGTGGAGGCCCCAAAATGCTCGGATACGAAACCCGTTCGAATCACTTTTCGCACGGCTGTATTTACTGCAGATTTGCACTCACACACACGCGCGCTCTTCCGACTGGAGCCCGATTGAACTAGGCAGCTTGTCAACTGGCTTTTAATTATTCGCGATGCGTTCTTTTCACGTAATACGTAATTGTCATTAGTTTTAAATCGTCATATGTATTATTTTTTTGCCATTTTGCGGCGAGCGTTGCCAGACGTGGTGGTCGCTGTATCAATCGTTATCGGGGCTGCCATTCTTAACGATATTGGCTCTGACCGGCGCCATCGATACTTGCAGTTATTTTTGTATAGAACCGGAGTCTCCAATTCTGAAATTTTGCTCTTTGTTGAACTTATTTTTCAGCAAATTGAAACTATAATGGGTTTTCACTTACATAAATTGGTTTAGCCACAAAATTTGTCAAACAGAAAGCAGAAATCAGCTGTTGAGGAGGAACTGGTGTGACCAAAGATGTGATAACAGTGGGACCAGAGTTGAGGAGTGAAACGCAAATTATGTTGTTTACAGCGCAGCAGCTGAAAATCGCATTTATCTGATTCTGTTGTGAGTCCTGCAAGATGATCTGTCGCCTGTGCCTGCGCTGCCTCAGCCCCGGCAGCGCCGTCTTCCTGTTCGAGACGGACGAGACGCTGGCAGAGACGCGACTGGTCAAGATGATAGCCAAGTTTCTCCAGTTGGAGGTGAGTGGTGGTGGCATTGGGGAGCAGCCGAAGCAGCCCGATCCCGGACTCACCCATCTTCCTTGCCCAGATCCTGCCCGACGATAGCATCTCGACCAGCGTGTGCACCGACTGCTGCGAGCACTTGGAGGACTTCAATGGCTTCTGGCAGCTGGTGGAGCAGAAGCAATGCTCGCTGAAGAAGGAGTTCCTCAACGTGGACGTCGACTGCGTGGCCCTGAAGTGGACAGGCGGCGTGGACGTGGACGTGAACATCGATGAACTGCCGCTGGCGGCAACAGACATGGACGAGAAGCCGCTGGACATGCACAACCTGAGCCTGCTGGGCAGCGTCTTGGATGTCAATGTGGACAGTGTGGAGGTGGCATCACAGGCCCCAGTCTCGGTATCCGTCAAAGAGCAGCTGCAAGAAGACTCGGAGGAGGACGAGAAGCCCTGCCTAAAGGACATGCACACGAGTGATAGCGAGCCGGAGGCGCTGCCAGAAGAAGACTCTTCTTCGGATGGTAATATCCCAGCTCTAGTTAAATAACTTTCTGCAGCTTTTAAAGTACGTTACCTTCCAGATGAGCCGCTGGTCCGGCTTCAGACCAAGGGCAAAACGCCGGTCAAACGCAAACAGCGCACTTCCAAGGAACGGGCAAGCGGAATTTCCCTTCACCAGGAACTCAAGGAGCTGCTCGACGACGGCAGCAAGCGGAGGCGCCGGAAGACACCCAGCGACCAGCGAATAGCCTCGGATCACCAGGAGACCGAACTGCAGGCCGTCCTCGAACGCAAGCCCAAGGGCTGTTCGCGCATACAGCTGGCCAAGAGGTATGAGGAGGCCATTGCCAGCTATATGAGCGCCAGCTGTGACCTGTGCGACTTCAGTGCCCAGTACCTGTCCGAGCTGAAGACCCACTTCCTGGAGGTTCACCAGCGGGAGTACTATATCAAGTGCTGCGGCAAGGTCTTTACCCGTGCCTCCAAGCTAATGGATCACGTACGCAAGCATGTCAATCCCAAGCTCTTTACGTGAGTCCCATCATCCATCCCGAGAGAGAAATGAGAGCGTTTATCCTTGTATCCTATTGTTGCAGCTGCACTATATGCCAGAAATCGCTCAACTCGCAGGACTACCTGGCCACCCACATCGAGACCGTGCACAACAAGGTGGCCCAGATAGGCAAGGTTCTCAAGTTTCCCTGCCCAAAGTGCGAGCGCACCTTTAGCAGCGAGCGGCGTATGGCCAACCATCTGGCTAAGCATGACACCGACCAGCTGGAGCACACCTGCGAGATTTGCTGCAAAAGGTGAGTTCAAAGGCTCCAACTCTGTTGATGTTATCTCTTTCTAATCCGTTTCAATCCCCCTCTCTCTCTCTCTCTCTCTTGCTTTCCTTGGACAGCTTCGCCAATGTCCATCGCCTGCGAAGGCACATTCAATCCATCCACGAGGATCTGCATCGCCATGTCTGCGACATTTGCGGAAAGAAGTTCAAATTCAAGCCCTCCTTCGAGCGTCACCTGCTGGAGCACCAGGGCGTGGTGGCCCCGGCAGTGGAATGTCCTGTGTGCGGTGTCTGGCTTAAGAATGAGCATAGCCTGCGGCTGCATCGTTTCACCCATGACAGCACGGACACGGTGTGTCCGCACTGTGGCAAGACCTGCACCTCGCGCACTGCCCTCCGTGGTCATGTGAAGTACGCCCACAAGCTGACCACCAGCTTGCAGTGCACCTACTGCGAGAAGAGTTTTAAGCAGCAGCGCAATCTGGACGAGCACATGGCCATCCACACGGGCCTGCAGCTGTATAATTGCCCGCACTGCCCCAAGGAATGCCGATCCCGCTCCAATATGTATGTCCACATCAAGCAACGCCACGCGGACGAGTGGTTGCGCGCGAAGATGGCGCGTTCGCATAATCCCCAGTTTAAGCCAGGATCGGGCGAGGCTCAGTCCTGAGCCCTCCCCCCCAATAGTGTGTACGAGCCGAAAGTGTCCAGCCCCAGCTTCTGTGAGAGATGAAAACGGAGCACCACCAAGTGCTTAACCAATAGATATATACGTAACTTTAACTAGTTATCTGTGTTTTCTTGGGGATTTAAACTTAAATAAGAAAGGAAGCTGTACCGCTGCAGTTTTCTATATAAAAGATAAAAATTTATACAGATTATTTATTTTAGTATCACAAAGAATTTAATTTTTGAATTAATTTGATTACTTATTAACTTTATGAATTTATTTTTTAATTTATTTACGTTTTTAACGGAAAAAAAGCAAGTCTGGCAACATTGATAGATAAATCACTTCGATAGACGGTGGCAAAACCAATCGATTTCCTGTCATCGTTAATTGTGCACCAGGGTTTCTATCGAGATATTTTTTAGGGGGAAAACCACATAATCATCTGGCAACACTGCGGCACACTACCATTGCGAAAATAATTCCAAAACGGAATCCCAGATCAAATTGTCTCCTGACTTTAAGTGATATTTAAAGGCGTAGGTTGTGATAAGAAAGCTAGCAGCTAAGAAAGTGCAGGTGAGTGGACATCATGGACACATCCAACTGGCCAAGGCCTGTGCCCAGTCAGCAGGCCCAGATTCAGAGCTGTGCGAATTTCGCCGGCACCCGTTGTCAGCCGGCCGCCATCGAAATTTTGCCCAGACGGCGTCTCATACATTTTTTTGTTGGCCGTCGTCTGGGGCGCAGACAACTACAACTATGAATGGCTTGGTGGTGGCCGCCTGGTAACAAGAGCGGCGGGGAGCTAGTTGCAACCGCTAACACGAACACACATGCACACTGACAGAGAGAAAGAGCAGTGCGAATGCGAATACAAGTTTGTGCATGTGTGTGCGTGCAGCATAACAAGTTTGCCTGCGAATCCTCCACCGAGCGAGATAGAGAGAGAGAGCCTGCTTGCCAGATGCAGATGCTTCATGTCCGTTCCAGCGTCCGCCTGTCCGTTGATTTTGCGCATACCTGCACAGCAGCGAAACCGAACTCGAACCCTAACCCAGGCCCAGAGCCAGGGCAGAGTTGCAGTTCTTGGCTCGGCTCTCGCACTCGGCACTCCTCGGTTGTGGCTCGTTTTTTGTGTGTCTACATCGAGGAAGAAAATTTTCAGCAGAAGCTCCAGCCAGCAGCAGCCGGCCGGCCTGCCTTTCCGGTTTTATTTTTCATCTCGCCACACTTGTTCCGCCGTTGCAGTTTTCCCCGCTGAACCGCTCATTGCTTGACGATCGCCGGCCAAACCTCTCCGTCTCTTCCAAATGGTCACCATGGAAAACAGCGATGAGATCCTACAGATCCTGGAGCGTTTCACGCGTTTGAAGCAAAAGGAAATACCCAAAGAGCTGGAGGATTATCTACAGTATGTGGCCAAGACCGGCGAAACCATATTCAAGTGGTCAAGCATCAAGTATTTGTTTCGCGAGAAGCTGCTCAGTGTGATTAAACACTTTAATGAGGACTCTCCGCGTCTGGAGGGTGAGTTGTGGCCATTGTTATAACCATTAGCTGACCCATAATCCCCCCCCCTGCAGAGGTTCCCAACTACCCGAATGTGGACCCCTTTAACTATGAGACCATGAAGTCCTCGCTGCTGGAGCGTTTGGACCTATTCACTGCCGCCCCCTTTACCGTGCAGCGTCTGTGCGAGCTGCTTATTGATCCGCGGAAGCAATACTGCCGAATTGATAAGTTTATGCGTGCCCTGGAGAAGAATATTCTAGGTAAACTTCTTCCTTATGCCAAGTCCTTATAATATTCAACTTAAAACACAAATTTTTTTGTCATTTCTTTGATTCTTTACAGTCGTCAGCACCATTGATCCGGGACGCAAGCGCACCGAAAGCGAGAACGGTGACTCCCTTGATTCCGTTGTCAACGGCGACCTGTCCCTCGAGGTTAACATTGACATAGAAATGGAGAATGAGGCTCAATTTAATAATGGGAATGCCGAGGAGGGAACCGGCTCTGGCTCTGGTTTAGGTACCAGCTCTAGTGGCGGTGCCGTCAAGGCTAGCTGCCCGCGATCAGATGACAATGATCAGCCCAAGGCCAAGAAGGCCAAGCTGGAGATTGAGGGCGATGACGATCTACCCGAGGCCGATCAAGAGGCCGAGTCTGAAGTGGCCTCCTCTAAGGCCAAGAAGGACAGCGATGAGACTGATGCCCCACAGGAGGCAGCCGAAATTGAGGAGCCCGATGATGAGTTGGAAGAGGCGGAGGAGGCCAAAACCACCGCCAAGCAGGCTCTCAATGGCAGCAAGCAGCAGAAGGAGGAGGAGGAGGGCAGTGATAATCCCGTTACCGAGGCTGCCCAGGACTCAACAATTGCCAAATCTCCCAAAGCGGAGAGCGAGCCACTAGATGACGCTGTCAAGGAGAAAGCGGAAGATGTCAAGGATAAGGAGGAAGTGGCCGGAGGAGAGCCACAGGAAAAAATCATCGAAAAGCAAGAGACCGAGAAGGCCGAGAAGTTGGACAAGCCAGTTGAAAAGCCTGCTGCCGAGGAGACTCCAGCAGATAAGGAAGCCAAGGTGCCCGAGGTGGAAAAGGAGGACTTGCAGGAGAAGATCACTGGGGAGCCAGAGGAAAAGGAGAAGAAGGAGAAAGCAGATGCCGAGGCCAAGCCTGCATCAGCAGATAAGCCCGCTGACGAGAAAGCTGCTCCAGCGGAATCGAAATCAGAGAACAACAAGGCCGAGGAAAAGCCAGAGCCTGAGAAGGAGCTTGAGAAGCCCGAAAAGACTGAGACTGTGCCGGCCAAGAAGCCGTCACCGTCGCCGGAGGAGAAGGATAAAGAGAAGGAGAAGGCTGACGAGCCAGCCGATAAACCCGAGAAGAAAGAGGATGAAAAGACTGCCGCCGAGGCTGCTGCTGGAGCAGGCAAGGAACCCCTAGTAGAGCCCGAGGGTGGAGAGGACTCTTCTTCACCCGTTGCCGAGGAATTGGCCAATGCCACCACACCGCAATCTCCGGTTAGTGCCGCTGCCGAGTCCGCCGAAACGCCGCCCGCCGAGGCAGTTGATGATGCAGTTGATGCTGATGAAGACTCACCTGTGGCGGCCGTAACTACACCACCGGCTTTGGCCCTCAACGATCAGCCCATGGAGGATACCCCGGCCGAAGAGGAGGAGGAGGAGGAGGTGGTGGCACGCGTCTCCCCATCGGCCGCCGTTGAGGAGGTGGTTATGGCCGAGAGCGGTCCACCGCCAGCCGCTGAGATGGCCACCGATGAGGCCGATAAGGAGGTGGCCATGGAGGTTGATGACACCAGCCAGGAGGTGATGGTCCAATAAGGATTGCAACTACAACTACATTCAAAAAAAAAAATACTACTCCATATAACGTAGACACATAAGACAAGCCCCCCCCCCATCCCGCGAGTAACCCTGACGATGATGTACTCGCCATTCGCCCGCATTGCTGCTGATCGATCACCCACACCCACACACCACTCTCTGGGAAGGAGGCCCCTTCGTAGCTGTAAGACGACTCTGTTGAATGTTCCATCAAAAAACACCAATTGTGTTTATATATTTTTTAAAGCCGTATTCTTTAGGACATGGATGGGCAAAACCGCCGAAATATCGTACTAAATCCATTAGGCAGATGATCAAATTTATGCATGTATGTGCCCATCCAGGCTATAGATCAATCAATCCTCTCCCTTAACCGACGAAGGACAAGTCCGCGGATCTCGCTCCTCCTCTTTCCCTATAATTTTTTTTTATATTTAATATCCTAGAAGTAGACGCTCGAACAGCTGTGAGCGATCGAACACCTACACAATAAACACTATCTACACATAAAACAGGTGTTAATAACTTTCTTGGTGGTGTGGGGTTTCAGATTTCAGGAGAGACTTTTCCTTGGAGACACTTCTAGATAAGAGTTCTCTGTTTGGGGGCCCATAAAAACCTCAATTGCTTGGCTATCTTCAAGCAAAAACCCTTGAGCCCCAGAGGTCCCAGTGAAAGCCAGGTGGAAAGGGAAGACTACTCTTTGGTATGGATTGTATAAGTTGGTGGATAACAAACAGGCAGGCAAAACAAACAGTACAGAAACAAGGAGGAAACTGGCCGGCAAACAAGCAGGTCGTAATCAAGCTTATGGTAACTATATAGTTCAAATTGGATTTGATAACGTGTGTGTGTGTGTGTGTGTGTGAAGCCAATGGGGATTCCAGCGGGGGGCGGGCCCTGCGACTCCATAGCCGGAGCGAAAGCGTGGATCATCCGCCTCCATTTCCGTTCCGATCCGATATCATAATTCATCATTCATCATCAACAACAGCAGCTGCTCCTCTCCGCTCCGCTCCGTTCCGCTTCGGCTTCCGCTTCCGCTACCCCAAAATCGATCGGAATCTCGATCCGGTCGATGCTCGTTCCGGATGATATGGCCAGGAGCCGGAATGGGCCGGGCCGATGCCGGGGCCGGGATCTAGCCCAGCAGCACCTTGCGCATCATGAAGCCGCTGCTGGCATTGGTAGTGCTCGCCGACGCCGTTACTGATCCGCGCGCTGGCAGCTCCGGTTCGATGCACTTAGAGGAGCAGAGGTACTGCAGCAATGGGACACGGTACTTGCCGCAAAAGTCCACAAACTTGATGTGCTCGACCCGATTGTCAAAGAAGACACCCTTGCAATTGGGATTCACACAACAGTTGGCGCTATTCAGGTACTCGGCCAGTGTCCTTGGTATGTCGTACGGTCCTGGTCGCTGGCCGCTGGCCTTCACTATGCGCCCAGCCAGCTCCAGCAGGGTGGGTGGCTTCAAGGCCATGTCCTGGACGAAGCGAACCACCAGCGGATTGTCGCGCAAACTCAACTGTGGAATGGTAAAAGAGAGTTTAGAAATGGGATGACTCTGCATGAAAGTGACTTGGCGTCTTACCTCCGTCAGGTTCTTTAGCGCCACAATGTCCTTGGGCAAATGCCGCAGACGATTCTTGTGAAGCAGCAACGACTTGAGGTTCTTCAGACGGGCAATGCTCGTCGGCAGTATCTCGATCAGGTTGTCGCAGAGCACCAGGGCCTGCAGCTGGCTAAGAGAGCCCACCGCCTCGGGCACCTCGCTGATCAGGTTACCGCCCAGGGACAGAACGTGCAGGCTGGAAGGGAAGCGAATGGTGATGGGAGGGGGTAATTAGCAGACAAAGTGAAGATATATATTATATTAATACTATGTTTATTATATCCTAATTTCAGTCAGAAGCTAATAACTTAGTGAAGGAATCATTTCCGACCCTATGAAGTATATATATTCTTGATCAGCATCAACAGGCGAATCTTTCTAGCCATTTTGGAGGAAAAATAAAATGTTTGAAATTTTTAAAATTCCATAAGGGGTTACATCATTAAAATGATCAAAAATTCGAACAAAATAAAAATTTAAATTAAGTAAGCAGATTTATTAACCTATTAAAAACTAACATAAACCCGTTTTCAAAAGTAAAATTAATGCATTTTTGACTGAGTTATGAATTTTTAAAGTTATGCAGGGTATTAAAATTTCAGTCAGAAGCTTGTAATTTAGTAAAGACATCATTTCCGACCCTATAAAGTATATATATTCTTGATCAGCATCAACAGGCGAATCGTTTAAGCCAAGTCCGGAAGAAAAAAAATTTTTTGATAAATTTTTCAAAATTTTATAAGGGGTCACATCATTAAAATTCTCAAAATTTGATAAAATTTTCAATTTCGAACTAAGTATGCAGATTTGTTAACCTTATAAAAACTAACATAACACCGTTTTCTGAATTGAATTTAGTGAATTTTCCACTGAGTTATGAATTTTTTAAAATTAAATAAAATTTAGATTTTTTTAAAAATGAAATAAAATAAAATTATAGGTAAATAAATAAAATAAATGCAGTACGCATTAACCTTATAAAAACCATGAATTAAATTAAATGTATTTTTTTGCCTAGTTATGGATTTTTTATTAATTTTAAATTTAATTTAAATTTAAATATTTCCCAAAAATTATTATATAAACATTATGGATAACCATTGAATTTTAATACCTCTTTGAGGGTATTATTATAAATTTTTGATTTGATTTTTTCAAAATTAAAAAAAAATTTATTAAAAAAAAATTATAAAAAAAATAAATTTTAAAAATCCGAAATCCCAAAAAAAATCTCATTTAATTCTTATTAATTTAACTGACAAAACGAATTCTCTGAATTGACCTTTGATCTTGGAAAAAACACTTTTAAATGGTCAGAAAATAATATATAAAAAAATATATATATAATATATAAAAAATATATTAAATATATAATATATAATAAATATATATATATAATTAAAATATACTAATATATGATAATCAGATCCAAGGTTTAACTCTCCAGCAGATAAAGAGAAAAAGAGAGAGTGCTCGATGACTTCTACGACTCGACTTTTGTTGTGGAGAGAGTGTTGTCAGTTCATCTATTTTTATGCCAGTTTTCAGCTATTAATAAATATATTTTAATAATCTTCCTAAATTGTAGTTTTAAAACCTAATTTAATTTAAGCCAAACCTAAGAAATTTAAAATTTATTTCCTATATTAAAATCCTTCTCTGAACAGTAAAGTTTACTATGCCATTATATCATAAATTTATTGTTATTATTATTATTTTTTATATTCAATACCCTGAATCACCGCTTATGTCATAGGTGGCCTTAACCCTAACGGGTTTTGGCTTTAAGCTTTTTGGCCAAAAGGGCCAACCGGATCGGCTCCTCTTCACATTCTACGGGGCTCAAGTGCGGAGCAATCAATTCCCCCGTAGACGTTGCAAAGTCCGGCCCTCTGATAACTAATGCCAATTTGAATTTTTTTAATTTGTTTTCAACTGATATTTGTATTTTTTTTTGCAATTTTTGTGCCATTTGTTCTTTGTTTATTATTATATTAATACACGGACCTGGGCCCGTATCTTTATGGGCCGACCAAATCGGTTGGGCTCGAGTCGAGTACATGTTTTCGATAGATTTGGCTTTTACGACGCCAGCACCAACCACCCGACCGATCCAGCGATCCGGCGATCCACCGATCCACCGATCCGCCGAGTGGCAGGGCAGCGTTATCAGCTCGGCGGCTATATATTACGATCGCGTCTGTGCTTGGACTTTTATACATGGCAACAGTGCTCGGCGGGGTTCGAGCTCCACGAGTGGCCAATGTCAGGCCGCAAGAGGAAAGCGCGGCAAGCGGCGAGTGCACTTGGAGAAAAAAAGGGGGGAGGATACAGAAAAGATTCTTTTTTCCTTGTTATTCTTCCTTAAAATTGTAATTTTAATTAACTTGATGAGACTTCTTAAAAAAACGTCTCTAGAAAAAGTACTAATTTTAAAGATTTTTTATGTAAGACTATAATTCCCAAGTCTAAATTTTGTGATAAAGCTTTTAAAATTATAATTTAATGTAAGTCCTTAAATTTAACTAGAAAACTTCAATTTAAAATTTATTTTTGGCACTAAAAAAATGTAAAATGTTATAAAATGCCTTCGCATGTTAGACTATAATTCCCAAGTTAAAATTCTAAGACAATTTTTTAGACTTCAAAACTTTTAAAATTATAATTTAATTTAAATAATTTAAATTTACCCAGAAAACTTTAAATTTAATATTATGTTGGACAGTAAAATAATTTTAAATGTTAAAAAAAAGTAAAAAATTTAATTTAATTTAAATAATTCAATTTAAACTAGAAAACTTTAAATTTAAAATTATTTTTGGCAGTAAAAAAGTTTTAAATGTTTTAAAAAAATGTAAATTAATCATTTAAATTAAACTAAAAAGCGTTAAATTTAAAATTATCTTTTGGCACTAAAATTATTTAATATTTAAAACAAAAACCTCAATTATTTCTCACGGTGTTTGGAATAACCCGAGAGACACAGAAAACACTTGAGCAAACAATAAGCGAGAGGCCAGAGACCAGATCGATCGCTGGATCGCTGAATCTATTGATTCCTCTGGGTCACCTACCTTTGCATCTTCCAAATATCCTTCGAAATGCTGGAGATCTTATTGCCGCCGACATAGAGATACTTCAGCTGACGCAGCTCGGTGACCTGTTCGGGGAAGTGGGTCAGCTGGTTGCCGCTCAAATTGAGCTCCTTGAGCGTGGAACCACCGGCCAGCTTGGAGAGCAGCGACTTGGGCAGCGAACCGTTGGTCAGCAGGTTATTCTTGGCAATCAGGGTGACCAGCGGCAGCTGGCAGACGGCATCCGGCAGCGAGGTAATGGCATTGGAGCTCAAATCCAGAACTTTTAGGTTGGCAAACTGCTGCAGGAGCCGTGGTAGACCCACCAGACGGTTGTGATTGAGCAGCATGGTCTCGATATCGCCGCTGGCCTTGAGCAGACCCTTCTGGGGCGAACTAAGGTGATCCTCCAGGGTGATGAGGTCCAGGCTCATGCGGCCAAAGTCCAGGGTCTTTTGGTCCCGCGAATCTGTGTCCGAGCTGTCCGATGTGTAGACCTCCATGGTTGTGCGTGCTCCTTCCTTCTTCTTGATGCAGTTGCTCCGGTTGGTTGTTTCTCACTTGATGGCGCTGATCGCTTTGTTTACCGATCGATGAATCGCTCACTTACAACAACAGAAAAAAATAACGCGAACGAAAACAAAAACAGATGCTTGATGCTTGAATGCCAGAGTTTATACTGGTGGAACCGTCGCGACTTGACGCTCGCTCTGCTCAGCTCGCCCAGCCCAAATGCCAGCGGATCGCGATCGCGGCGGCTGCTTTTCTGATCGCCAAGCGGAGACGACTATCAGCTCCGGACGATCGGATCTTCGGCTGGGCCCCCCCCCTAATCACACCGAGACTCTGGCTTCTCTCTGCGGTTTCTCTATGCTCTTCTCTTCTCTTCTCTTTTCCCTTGGCTCTGCCCGTCTGGCCGCGCACGAGGCGTATGCGTAATGCCTGATTCCGATTTGGTAGTACTGGGCCAAAGGTACTCGGGATCCGCGTGGGTGGGCCAAACAGTTGGCCTGGTCAGCCAGTCGCCGCTTATCGGGCGGGCTGAGGAACCCAAAAAAAAAGAAGAAATCCATTCGACTTGAGAGCATATACTTTTCACCATTATCAATTATTTGACATTAATTATTTTATTGAATTTATTTACGACCTGCACTTGGACGGCGGCTTCACAATTATAATATAACAATATTAAATATTGAGAGTACTAGTGAGTGGGGGGGGGGATGGGTCTTTTGTTGTGACTGGGTCTGACTATCTGGGTCATAATTCCCGGGGGAACTCTGGTAGCATTTGTTTATTTTTTAAATTTAAATGGAATTTATTTTATTAGATTTTATTTAATTAGGGTTTTGGGTTAAGTAACTAAGTAATAAAACGTATTAAATGGCACAAACACATTTAAGAATAAATCTATGTCCTGTAACCATCACTTCATTCCGGAGATCCTAGAACCAGTTGGGAATTATAAGTGCTCACGTGTGAGATTTTTCTGGCTGAGACTTTTAGGTCAATTTCACCTTGGGTTTTATTAAAAATTTACCAGCAAAACATATGCAAGTAAAAGTAATGAATAGAAATTTTAAAAATTATCTAAATTTATGGAAAATAACAAAAAATTTACCCTTAAAACTTTTAGTGGCTTGGCTTGGCTTAACTTAAATTCCAAAAAACGGTTTCAAAGCTCTCAAATATTACCTTAATTTTATAAACAAATTTTAAAGATTTGTAAGATATAATCAGCGATTAGTTGTTATTAATTATAGATAAATAGCTATAGATACGTTATCTTTTTGTTTAGGGTCAATATCTTTTACTTATTGTTGTCATTTTTTTGTGGAACACAAATAATTAATTATAAATAATGAGAAAATGTATTAATTGATTACTTGGAGAGCTTAAAGAGTTAAACAGGAAATTATTTCATTAAATATTTAAATAAGAATTTTCTGGAATTGAAAACTTATCAATAAATCAATAAATAACTTAAGTTAATCATCTAACCATTTTAAATGTATTTACTATTATTCTACTAATTTCTTAACTATTTTTATATATTTTATAAATTTCCCCCTTTAGATAGCACTTGTTCCAAATTAATCATACTTTAGTCTCTCAGAAAAGTTCGACAAACTTTTCAACTGCCTCCAATGTTTGCACCGCTTTGGCACAATCGCAACGGATCGAAGCCAATCGATTGATCACACGAGCGCCGGGGCCAGCGTCGACTTGAATTTATTTTATTTTATGACACACAGCGACGACTACGACGGCCTGTCAACCCAACCCCTCCCTTTGGCCATAACTTGTGCGAAAGTTATCGAACAGCCCACTTGATCCGTGCAATAATCAATATATATTTACTCTCGACAATCTTTTGTTTTTACTGCCCGCCGCCTGACTTTCTGTACTTAGAAGCGTCTAATCAAAACACAGGCCACCCGGTCCCCCTATCTCCCCCTTTCCATGGGCCATAGGCACTTTAAAAAATATATATTTACATCACTTGGGGTGTTGGTACTTGCTATATAATATCACAATTTATTTTTCCAAGTTATTTTTCTATGGGTTTCTATTTCATTTGTATAAATTCTATGTAAAAAGACAAAGAACTGAACAGTAATCACTATATTATATAGCTTTCATAGAAAATATTTATTATTTCTAACTTTTTTTCATACCCCTTTGAGGGTTTTATAATTTCAGTCAGAAGCTTAAAACTCAGTGAAGAAATCATTTCCGACCCTATAAAGTATATATATTCTTGATCAGCATCAACAGGCGAATCGTTTAAGCCAATTCCGGAGAAAAAAATTTTTTGTGATTTTTTCGAAATTCGATAAGGGGTTACATCATTAAAATTCTCAAAATTTGATAAAATTTTCAATTTCTAACTAAGTATGCAGGTTTGTTAACCTAATAAAAACTAACATAACACCGCTTTCCGAATGCAAATTAAGGCATTTTTGGCTGAGTTATGGATTTTTTAAATTTTAATTTTTACCCAATAATCATCAAAAATAATTGTATTATTTTTTTTTTAATTTTAAAATTGTCAAAAAAAATGTACCTTAAGGAAACTTAAATTTATTTTTAATTTAATATAACTCTGAACATATTTCCGAATTAAAATTAATGCCGAATTATATTTTTAGATTTTGATTAAAAAAATATATATCAAAAAATATCGATATCTGATATTCTAAAAAAAAAATATATATATCGAAAAATATAAGAAATGTTTTTTGATATAAATAAATTTTTAAAAATATTTTTTAGAATATCAGATATCGATATTTTTCAATATTTTTCTTTGATAATTTAAGGGTCGTCTTTAGGGGATAAGATACCAACACAGAAAATAATTGCCAAAAGTTATATTTAAATACCAAATTAAAATTGTAATAAATTAATAATAAAATATATAGTCTTGGACAACATTTTATATTTATAATTAAATTATATAAAATTAATTTATATAAAACTATATTTTTTTTTAGGTAATTTTCCTTTAAGAAAGTTACCAATTTGTCCAGTGCCCCGATGTATGCCTGCCCTCACGCAGTTTTTTTTTTCGCCACAGGGGTTTGGGGATTTTGGGTGTGCAAATAATTGTTCATTATCGCGTCATAGGACCATAGGCTGTTGTTGCTTTTGCTTTGGCTGTCGCCGTGTCGCACCGATAAGGACACACACTCAAAATATCAAAAATATAAATCGATAGCGATGGCGATCGCCTGTTGGCCAGCCAAAGCTATCTATTTTATAATTAAACCAAAAATTTATTACTTGCTCAAACTCCAATCTGTATCAATTTACAACTGTTTGCACGATAACCAAACAAGGGAAAAGTTTTGAAAATAAATAAATAAAAACCAATCAAGGCGCAGTTTTTTTTGAAATAGTAAACAAAAATCAAACAATAAATATTAATATTTGTATCCCATATAATATCTCTAGTTAATAACCTTGAATTTATATATATTTCAAGATTATCTGTGTGGAAAATAAATTATATTTATTGTTTAATTTTCTATAAAACCTACTTTTGGGTCAGTGACAAAGAGATATGACTTAGTTCTCGGTTAGAAATATCATTATGACTTTTATAAATTTTAAATAAATATAGAATATAAATATATACATTATGATAAGGTTTCCTTCCCTTGAATTTGTGATCAATATTTTGTTTTTCTCTGTGCAGACTTGATGGCGTTTTCGGTGCGTTTTTTGCACACGTTGCGAATCTTTAAGTTCATTTTGTCCGTCTGTCTGTCCGTCTTGTCCCGGGAGTCGTCATCTCTTTCTCTGGCAGTGTGTGTGTGTGTGTGGTCCTTATCGCCATAAATTTGAATTTCCATCAAAACAAAGCACAAGTAGCAGTCAATAGTTCTACTATATAGCAGATTAACTTGCGACATTTGATTCGGCTATTAATTTTGCAAATATTTCTAAGAGAGTGAGAGCTTTCTCTCGGAAGAGAGCAAAGCAACGATTCTGAAAGGCAACAATATAATGTATATTTAAATTATTATAAAGCCTAACAATCTGTACCGCAAATCTTACACCGTCCCATTATCGTCATCTGTCGCGACTTGAATAGTAAGTAGTCAGTCCCCAGATGGCGACTCGATTCGGCCTGAACCCCGCCCGGGGCGATAGCCTCCGGCTCCCAGACTGATCTTCCCCCCCCAAAAAAGCGAAAACATTTCTCGAAATTATAATGCGATCGAAGCGTGCACAGCCATCGTGGCTTTATTTCATAATAATTTCATAAATATATAGACGATGCTGTCGTCAATGGAATTTTTAATCGGACAATTTCGCCTCAAAGTATGGGGTATTTTCTTAGGGAAATCAAGGGATGGGGCCTACTTTTAGGTACCCTATAATATCTAGCAAGAGGAATATAATGATGCAGATCAAGAATATATAGTATGTTTTAAGGGGTTGAAAATTGCTTCTATATATTATATATTTTTTATATATTTATTAAACAACTTTTTATAATTAATTTATAAGGGAAACCCATTTAAAAATATCATATCTGAGCCAAAAAAGCATTAATTTTAAATTGGAAAACAGCTCTGGGTTAGATTTTATTAGGTTAATAAGTCTTTAATTAAATATTAAAAAATAAAATTTTTTTTGTAAATTTTTGACTATTTCAAGATAATTTATTTTTAATTAAAAAAATTGTTGTGAGAACTCAAAGTTTAAAAATTCATAGCTCGGTCAAAAATGCATTAATTTTACTTTTGAAAACGATTTTATGTTAGTTTTTAATAGGTTAATAAATCTGCTTACTTAATTTAAATTTTTATTTTTTTCGAATTTTTGATAATTTTAATGATGTAACCCCTTATCGAATTTCGAAAAAATCACAAAAAACTTTTTTTCTCCGGAGTTGGCTTAAACGATTCGCCTGTTGATGCTGATCAAGAATATATATACTTTATAGGGTCGGAAATGATGTCTTCACTAAATTACAAGCTTCTGACTGAAATTTTAATACCCTGCATAACTTTGAAAACTTATAACTCGGTCAAAAATGCATTAATTTTACTTTTGAAAACGGTTTTATGTTAGTTTTTAATAGGTTAACCAACCTGCATACTTAGTAAGAAATTAAATTTTTTATCAAATTTTGATAATTTTAATGATGTAACCCCTTATCGAATTTCGAAAAAATCACACAAATTTTTTTTTTCTCCGGAGTCGGCTTAAACGATTCGCCTGTTGTTGCTGATCAAGAATATATATAGTTTATAGGGTCGGAAATGATTCCTTCGATTGAAATTATGGTAAAATATTAAACATTTCTCTTAACAAACTTAAAACCTTTTCTACAGAACCTTTTTATTTTTTGCAATCAAAACACAAAAATAACACCTATATTTATTTTTTTATTTGTATATTTTACGAGTTAATTAAATTAAATTAAATGAAATTAATTTAAATTTAATTAATTTAATTTAAAAATTAAATTCATTCCTCCAAAGCATGTGAGTAGATTTATTATGCTTTCTGTGGCCTGTGCTCTTCATGCTTGATGTGCCTTTCCCAATTGCTTGAATTTCTGGTGAATCATTTGCAGGAAGCAAGTATAGTAGCAGCTACTCGTTAAGTTCGTCATAAATTAAGCTTCTGAAAAAGGGATTTCCCATTCCGAAAAACAGTTGCAACTCTTTATTTTGGTTATTTATTTATTTGTTTGCTATTTGGATTACGTGTCACATATTTTACAAAGTATACAATATAAAAAAAAATATAGATGTATGCATTTATGGATATTTCAAGGGCTGATAGCAGGGTTTAGTGTTTACATAAATATTAAAATGTAATGGTTAATATTTTAATATAATATGGTTTAGCTTCTTCGTTTTTTGAAACAAACACGAAACCCATTCACACACACAGTCACTCTTAAATGCCTTTTTGTGTGGTGTTCTTGATGTGGTCCTCACGGTCGCTGATTGAATGATTGATTGATTGATTGTTGGTTGGTTGGTTGAACTGTGCTTTTGGTCTCCACTTAATCCTTTGTGCAGGACATCTCTCTCTCTCTCTCTCTACTCGCTAGTTGTTTATATATCGTATATATCGTATGTGTATATGTATTATTCGCATATATGCTAATATATAGCATTAAAAAAAATGTGGGGGAAGAAGAAGGGGGAAAAAAAAAAAAACACTTCACTTAACTCAATACTGATGTTTTAGTACACATTAGATGTTTTCTAATTAGCATTAATTAGCTTTACTTACAGGCTACTAAGTATATTTTAATGTAATAATAATAAATTATTAATCAAATATGCTTGTTTGTTAGTGAGCAAGAAGGGCAGGGGGGCAGGGAGGCCGGGGGGCTGTGTGTGACTCAGTGACTCGCTGGTTGTGCTGTGGGCCAGGCAATCTTTGCATCGATCCGCTTGTACGCCAGCATGCAATGCTTCCCCTTGGCGGCCAAACGGGCATCCTGCGGACACTCGGCATCCGTTAGCAGCGTCTCCTCGCCATCCACAAGCTTAAAGAGTGCATAGTCCTGGGGATTTGTGATACGCGCCTTGTGCGCTATAATCCGGCACACCTCCCTTGTGGTAGTGTGCGGCCGCACAGGCAGCGTCCGCGTCTGCAGGGATCCATTGCACTCGTCGGGTATGATGACGCGCAGCACACTGGAGCAGGCGGGCAGGCAGCTGGAGCGCCACTGGAAGAGGGTTTAAATCAATTTGGTAAATGTATAATAAAGCAGTTAAAGTTAGCAAAAGTTTTGATAGAATTACGAGAGATTGTGTCCCTTTTAACGGCCTGTTTTTGGGTTTTTTAAAGTTATTTTTTAATTTTTATTTAAGAAATTGGAAAATAAGTTATTTTAAAATTAAAAATAAGAGTTATTAGTCAACTTTTATTTATAAATTCAAAATTAATAATTATTTTAAAATTTTTTATTTAAAATTAATAATAAACATTTTTTTTAATAAGAAAACAACTTTTATTTTGATTAGAAAAATTATTCCTGATCCCTGATTTTTAAATATTTAAAAATTACAAATATGAGTTTTTAATCAACTTTTATATAAAAATTAATAATTATTCTAAAATTTTTGTATTAAAAGTGAATACTGAGAATTAAAAATCTTGTTTAATATTTTGAATATAAAAAATTTATACTTTAAGCGAGATCTTTAGGGCCTAGAAATAAGAAAAACTAAAAAAAAGTAAATCTAGAGTAAATTTGTATAGCATTTGTTCCTGTATGTTTTATTTTTAATTATTTTAAGTTATTTTTATATATTTTTAATTATTTTTATTTATTTTTAATTATTTTTAATTATTTTTAATTATTTTTATTTAATTTTATTTAATTTTATTTAATTTTATTTATTTTTATTTAATTATATTTAATTTTACTTATTTTTAATTATTTTTAATTATTTTTAAATATTTTTTTTTTATCATTTTTTTTATATTTATTTATTTATATTTTGTATTATTTATTATTCATTATTTTTATTTCTAATTTATTTCAAATCTCAATTTAAGCGTCAAGTTTTTTAAAAATGTTTAATTTCCCATCTATATAATATCCTAAACTTTCTAAATTAAACTTTCAATATATATTCCCACCCCGTGGAACTTAGCCTTCCCCATTTACTTGGCTCTACTTACATCCAGGGATCCATTGCCGCTCTCCCCCTCCGAGGCCATAAACGTCTTCAGCACCTGAACGGCACTGCAGAGGGCGGTGAGGTAGTAGCCCGGCTCTCCGTTCAGCAGCGTCGGCTGCAGCAGGCCCCACATGAACTCCGCCTCGATTTCGGCACCAACAAAGCCACACTTGGCCACCACATAGACCAGGACGGGCAGGAAATCATCGGCGCCCAGTTGCTGGCCACGCGGACAGCCGGTGGCATCGAACACCGTCGAGATGACGCACAGGAATAGCTCCAGCTTGTCCAGCGGCAGTTCGGCCTCTTGCAGGCGCAACAGCAGATTGGAGATCAAACGCAGGGCGGCATGGGAGGGCGGGGTTACCGTCGGGCGTATGCCAAAGTCGGCTGCCTCCCGGTCGCAGGCATAGCGTACATTTTGGGCCAACAGCTGAATGTCCTCGCTGCGCTGATAGTGATCCACAAAGATGCCATAGAGATGTTCGCGCAGCGGCAGCACCACCAGCTGATGCATCACCGTCTCCAGCATGCTGTCCAGATTGAGGAACTCGTCCGCCTTGAGCCGTGACCTGGCCGACTCGAGTTCGGCATGGAACTTGCCCTCGCCATGCTTCACCAGATAGTTCTTCATGCCGCTCATAAACTGGCGCATATTGCGCATGACCACCTGGGGTGCCGCCTCGCGGGATTCCTTGGTGCAGCAGATAAAGTTTTCGATGTTGCGGGCAAACGTAGAGTTGGGATCCTGGGCCAGCTGGAGGGTGTAGGCGCGCAGGGAGTCGCCGGGGCCGCTGCTTTGGATATTCATCTTGTTGCGGGGGTGACCTGGAAGGGAAAAAAGAAGGAAAATGTTAGAGCTGGGGTAAAATCGATTATCTATCGATTTATTTTCGATATTTTCAAACATAATATCGATTTAATCGAATCCACAATTATTGAGTTTTGAATTTAATGAAAAACGAAACGATTCATCGATCAAAATATAAAGAATCGATTTCGAATTCTGCACAGCTCTAGTTGGGGGAGTATAAAGTTGATGTAAGATAAGGCAAAGTAGCTTTTTATTAAGATAAAATTGATGTTTTTGGTGTCAAAAGACGGTTTCTGACTCAAGCTCTGCGGGAATAATCGAAAAGGATAAGATAAGACACCTATTTAAGGCCAAGACTCGAGGAAAATGCAAATCAGTTTCTAAAAGAAACTCCTCCAAATGAGATCTGCACTTTCCATTAAATTATAGGTAAACTCTAAACCAAAGACTAAACCTTCTCCCTAACAACTCTCTTCTTCCTGTTTCTTACCAGCTAATAATTCACACAGCAATCGAAGCAGACGGCGCAAGGCATAACAGCAGCCGCGACTCCGGCAAAAGTCCTCATCGGCGCACTCACAGCCACGTCGATAGCGTCGATAGAGACGACGACTCTGGGCCTGGAGACACAAACCCAAAGCCTGGCACTCCACGATATGCGTCATGTTCAGCAGAATGTTGCCCTGTTCGTCCAGGTGAAAGAACTGTTTGATGTCATAGTGATCACAGGTGTTTAGCTCACCAGGATGGCACTTGTCCGGCTCAGTGCTGGCCAGCAAGGATAGGGATTCCTCCCCGGCAGGACACTTGCCAATGGCCCCCATTATGGACCCAGCCAGGGCCTCAGTCTTTAATTGTTTTCGATCGATGCGACAGTCTTTGATCACCTGTTGGGGACAGGTGGCAGCTGCTCCTCCTACTGCTGCTGGTGCCGTACAGGTGGAACCCAAGCTGGACAGGCTACTGCTCACCGCAGACTTTCTTGATTTCTTGCACAGCACAGCCGAATTGGGTGAGGATGGTGCCCGCTCACTGGGCAGTACCAGGCCCGTTTGTATGTTGTCCACGAATAGGAGTTCCAGGAACTTGCGTTTACGCTGAGGCTTTGCCCTCAACTGAATCTTGGTCTTCTCTTCCGGTTCATATTCCTCCTGCAATTGCTCTTTTACACTTTCATCAGGATCTTCCTGAAGAACCGTGGTGGGTAATTGTGTTCTTTGCTGCAGCAGCTCTTCCTCAAAATCCGCCGAGAAATAGTTGGTCTGCGGCGGATGCTCGATGATCTCCCACTCGGACATGATGCTCAGAAATTGCGCCTCTTCGCGATAATGCCTCACATGATCCGGATCATGAAAAAACTCCTCTGGTTCCAGTCTCTCAATCCTCTGTTCGTCCAGGCTGCTCAATGATTTGGACATGTCCAAGGGCAGGGGTGAATCCGGCGGGGAATCGTTGGGCGGTGAATGCGGGCGGCTCGCGGACAGTGCAAGCGACGATTTTCTGAACCAACTCATGGTAAATCCGGTAGCGATTTTTGCCAGCTAAAACGAATTGGCGGAAACGCAGATTTCTCATCGGCACACGCGACACCGGCGGCAGTGATAAGCGATGGTGATGGAGGGCACTAGCTGCTCCTCTCCTCTCTCTGTCTCTTTTCTAGCGGATGGCTCCACGAGCTTGTTGCTGCTCTAAACGCGGCCAATGCAAAACTAATTCTGAACTTCATACGCATTAGTTTATAAGACTATCGCATCGCTGCTGCGTCGCTGCCGGCGAACAAAGATAGCAACGGCAGCGGCAACGACGACGTCGCTGCAAAATGTGTCAACCCGCCGATGGGCGACCTCATTTGCCTGGCCTCCCCTCTGTCTGAGCCTGTCTCGCAGGTTTCAGGTAGCCTTTAGATATCCTTTAGATCTTCCTAATTATTACCCGGGAATTTCCGGAATTTCTTAAGCAGGTACAGTTGCGCAAATCCAACTCAACCGCTAATTTGGTTTGCCTTCTGCCTAGGCCTGGCTTTGCCAGGTACTTGGACTTTGCTGAGGCTGCATTTACCTGGGGATTGGCTCTGATTCACTTGGCACATCGTCTTTGTTTTGGCACTGCATCATCATCGGTGGTCAATGGCAGCGCGAATAGAACAAGTGTGAAAACCAATTACGAGGCAACCAAGGCATTTTGCGGTTCATTATAGTTTCAGATGTTTGGTTTTGTAGGTCTTGATAAATTAAATATCAATTTTATGGATTATATAATACTAAAGATGCGTAATGCCACTTGAATAAGATGCGTAATACTATTAAGATGCGTAACGACAGTTGAATTTACATCAATTTATAGTCAATACTCGTATTCTTTTTTGCAAAACGATCCTCAAGCTATCATAAAGTCCTTTTATTAACTTCAAAATTAGTTTTAAAAATTTGAAAAAAGGATCTTTGAGATATCATAAAATTTACAAAAATCTTTTTGGATCTTTGATATATAACCTTAAACATTACTATTTTAAATTTGAAAAAAAAAATTTATTTAAAGATATTTTCTTTTGGGTTTACATCTATAATTTTCCATAAAAATGATCAAATTCCTCACACTGAGAAAATTATGGAAAAATATTAATAGAAGTGCAAGAGACCATATCTCGGAGACCTATAATTATTTTAGAAAAAATTTTAAAAATTGATTTTTAAGAGCAAGAACAGTTCTTTAAGATGCCGTAACAATTTGAAAAAAAAAAATATATTGAAAACGTAAAATTATATTTAATATAAAAACCTGACAAACTAAGAAAAAATACATATATACCGTTTCTTGTCAATATAGAATATTGTTTCTATATAATATAATACAAGCAACTAATTATCATTAAAGAAATATCCCAAGAAATACAATAAATTGTAGCTTATTTATCGTACTTTTCGTTCTTGAAATTTATAGAGCAAGGCTTTAAAAATGAGCTAAAGCCAAGTAGAATGATTAAATATTATTATAATATATAAATTTATATTCATTGAAGAAATCATTAAGCTAGAGAATTAAGCAGACTTTTAAAACTGATATTCATCATCTACTTAGAATTATTAATAATATTAAAAATGAAATTCAAATTGATATTAGTTCAAGATGTTCTTGGAGCCGCTTTTAGCTGACTGGATCTTCATGAATGGATGACCATCGTCTCTGGTTCCTACTCTGCACTTCTAATCCTCTATCTCTGCGTAAGGCTTATCAACAGACACGCTGGCTAGCCCGGCCAAAGCTGCTGCTGCTGCTGCTTCTGTCCGGACTCCCGACTCCGTCGTCCGGGTTCTCGTGCAATGCCACGTACGGATTGCATCAGCATAACACTCAGGCTTGGAACCGATGCGCAATTCGGAAAAACCTCCTCCCGGACAGGGTAAATGGAGGTTTCCAGGTTAGGGTTCAGGGTTGCCGTTTAGCTTGGCTCTTCCTAGTTTCAGGCAAGATTCTCGGGGACTCACGCGGCTTAGACAGACGGGAGCACTGAACCCTTACCTAACCAGGGATTTAGATGGGATCTTAACGGTATTAAGAGAATAGATTTTCCCCAGAGATTTGGCTTATCAACCTCTAACGGGCTCTGTGTGGGTTTATTAACTTTTACAAGGCCCGAGAGCAGGTAAACAATTTTGTTGGCAGTTGACAAAACGGGCCAGAGCACGTGAGTTTTGGGATGGACCAAAATTACAAGGGCAAGGGGGTAACTCTTTTTTTTTTTTGGTGGGGAAGGGGAATTTTTGTATTGGAAAATATAAATATAATTTTTAATCGTTTAAAGCCTTATTTTACTTTTTAAATGGAGATTTATATTTATTAGAATTAATTTTCTCAAAAATAAGTTTCTAACTAGAGTGACCAGATTCACATTCTACTAATTGGAGTGACCAACTTCACATGCTAGTTTTAGAGTGGCCAATATCCAGGTAACTATTAGAGTGACCTTCAGAATAATTTTCTCCTCCAGAATAATTACTTTAAAATAATTTATAAATGCTTTGTTTTAAAGTTTTCTTTTGAATAATATTATTTAAAATATCAGAAAAATGAATTTTATCTAAAGCCTTTTTTCTTCATTATAAAACCCTATATATCCCCTTTTAAAAGTATCTAAAATTGAGATATACTATGTTCAAAGGGATTCTAAAGTGCTATTAAAGCTGTTTGGGCTTTTACTTGGTCTGGGGATCTTCCCGATCTTCTGTTCTATTACTCATCTCATTCAAATTATTCAGATTCGTTGTCGTTTTATTAAAATTCTCCCTTGGGGACAATTTATTTAGCAGAAAAAAGATCAAGATCGTGTGAATTGGAATGCAGGAAAAAGGCGTTAATGTTCCCAGAACCATTTCGAGTTTCAAAATATCAAAAATGCCTCTATTTGTCTTTCATCAGCTGGCCTTTGTTGTCTACTGGGAAGCGCAGTGCGTTTGTGTTTGTCTTTGCCCACAGAGTGACCCAAAAATAGACTGTCTAGGTCGAGATTTCGATTCTACCGATGCATTCCGCCAAACGCCGCCTAGCAAACAAAAGCCGTTAATTACGCATCCCATTCAGCATTCAGCGTTCAAGCGTTGAGATACTGATTTACCCGAGACTCGTCGTAACTCCGCGCGGTAAAAATCACGCTCGCTGATAAAACCGCTGCCGGCGTCGCTGCTTCGGTTTACATTCCAAAGTGCGCTGCAGCTCTCGATCTCTCTTGGTTATGCTCTCTCCCCCGCAATTACAGTGAGAAAAATTACAACATAAAATTAAATATAAAATAATTTTAGGAAATTATTGTTATAACTAATGGGAATCTTCATTTTTAGAAGTTGGTAAGGCTCTGAAATAAAAGCTTGGCTTATTTCAGGCATTGTTTTAATAAAAAAAAGTTGGCTTATAATTCTCAAGTACTTTTTTGGGATAAGTCTGGAAAGCCTAAAGAGTCCTTTAACCTGTTTTGTTCTTGCATATAATTGTTGTAAATTATTTGTAAGTTAGATTAAATATTAAATAATAATAGAAATAACTTTAGTTTGTTTTTATAGATTTTTTGGTCAAAAAAATCCCATACGAAATAGAGATTTTTTCTCTAAAAAGATTTTGTAAATAATTTTTTAAGTAAGATTAAATATTAAATAATGTATAAAATATATTTTCCTCCTTTTTTAGTAGCTGGTAAGGTTCAGAAATTAAAACTTGGCTTATTTAAGGCATAGTTTTAATATAAAAAAAATGGCTTATAATTCTCAAGTACTTATTTCGGATGAGAAAAATTACAAAATAAAATTAAAGTTGAAATAATTCTAAGGAAATTATTATAACCAATAGGAATTATCCTTTTTTAGAAGTTGGCAAGGCTCAGAAATTAAAGTTAAAATTGAAATTAAAATAAAATTAACGTTAAATTAAAGGCTTATTTCAGGCATTAAAAAATATTAAAAAAATACCTATAATTCCCAAGTCATTATTTGGAATGAATCTGTATAGCCTAAAAAATCCTCTAACATGTTTTTTCTTACACTGATTTTTTGTAAATAATTTTCAAGTAAGATTAAATATTAAATAATAAGTAAATACTATTTTCCTAGAAAATATATATAACCTTAGGCTGTTCTTATAGATTTTTGTCAACCAAAATCCCCTAAAAAGTTAGATTTTCTTTTTCTAAAAAGAAGATATCTGATCAAGTATTTGCTACTGCACATTCTCTCATATTTACTTTGCCTTGCAGACTTATCAAAATTTATGCTTAGCAGCTGCCAACTGCGACGCAGAAATCTCCCGGCAGCGGGAATAGTAAAAGACTTCGACTTGGGATCGGGATCGGGGAATTGGGACTGCTGCTATGCATTGTTGCGCGGCAGATAAGTTTCGGCAAAGGCTTTTGTAGTCTGGCTGTGAGGGGGTTTATTTAAGATAAGCCAGTCAGTGGTTCGCTGAAAAAACCAGTTAAAACCGATGCAGAGAAGAAGTGTGCTGCCCCAGACTTGAGTCAGGTTTATGTAGTATTTACAAGAATGAATAAATAATGCTTAGCATATTGGACTCGGTATCGTAGTTAAGGCTTTGAAAATGTTTACACAATGAGTAATAATTGTGATTACTCCCTGCTCTCTCTCTTAATCGTTCCCAATTGCAAATCGATGACGATGATCGGTAGCTTGGATTCCTGATATAGCTAGCCATTGTAATCAGTGGCTCGTGCTTTTGTTTTGTCAACTCGTCAACCATTGGTGGCCATGATGATGATGCAACAATAACAACTGATTGCAATTGAGCGTGATCCCCATCATCATCATCATCATCATTACTCCACTTCTCACGCACACGAGACAATGTCTCAAAGGCCATGTGCTGCTAAGCAGGTGCAGGCAGAGATTGCTTTCATTTCAAAGGGTAAATGAAGTGGAGGTAACAGGTTTGGGGAGAGTAATTCTATCCTAAAGGTATATCTTACCTTTTAGGCATAGCTTGCAAATAACTGTATAGAAAACAGAATAGAAAACAACGGGCTTATTCAAGAACCCATGGAACGGTTGCTCTCTGAGTCTTTTCGTAAAGAGTCAAAAAAAGAGAGAGAGAGACACTTATTAACAGACAACGAGAAACGGTCAACAGTTATTTGCAAGCTCTGAAGCTAGGTTATCCTTAAGGGATAATATACAATATAGATTGTAAAAGTACTCACATAAAACTTCACGATCTCGCATGCTGGGATTCCTCAGTATGGTGGCCACTTTGGGCCGACTGTTGCTGGCCTTGTTATTGTGATTGAGATTGTGATGGTGTCCAGCACCACCACCTGCATTCCTATTGGCCTTGAGCGTGTCCTGGTTGCTGCTACTGCCATCTTTGGTGCTTTGCAGTTCCTCCACAATGGTGTCATCCTCCGAGAGAGCGGGTCGGCATTTCGACAAATGAATAGTGTCCGAGTTGATGGTGGCATCTGCAAGAGTTATACAAAGTATAAGCCAAGGATAACACTTGTAAAAGGCAAAAACCCGTACCATCATGTGGCAGAAAAGAGTCCCACTGAGATGAATCCCAGGGCTCTGAGAAAATGGTTCCATCATCCGATTGGGCCGAATCGATGCCGCCGCTAAACGAGTTCTGGCAAAAGACATTGTCATAGGAGGAGAGTCGGCAGCCATTTTGGCTTTGGAATGACTTTTGGCTGCCATTCTCCAGCGGCTGCAATGGAGCAGCCACTTGAAGAGGCGTCGAGCAGCGCACAAGCTCTGGCAGATTGAGATCAGGCAATCGCTTGGCTATAATCTGATGTATGGTAAGCGTACGCTTTTTGCTTTGATCTCGACTATCCCTGCCCAGGGAGTTCTCCTTCTCCTGCCAGTCAATGGCCGCCGCATCATAGTCACCAGTCACAGTGTCCTGCTGCTGCTTGCCCATAAATTCCCAGCTGCTGTCCAGTTGCCAGTGATCAATGCGATTTCTGGCACGCTTGGTGGGCTGCTGCTGTTGCTGTTGGTGTTGATGCTGTTGCTCCTGGTTAGCCTTTGGCTTGGGTTTTAACTCATCCAGACTGCTGGTAAGCTTCTCCAAATCGCTGGGCTGCATTAGGTTGCCATTCCCAGTGGCCACAAAGCCACCTTTCAGTGGCTCTGAATGTCGCTGGCTGGCATGCAAAACTTGGCTGCGATGCTGACGCCTTAAAATAGCAGTGGCTGCACTGGTCAGGCCTGCCTGACGTAGTGCATCCGCTGGTTCAGCATAAAAGGGGCTGCCTTGTTTGCTGCGTGAACCGCTGCCGCCTTCGGCTGTGGGTGTGGTATCACCACCATCATCTTCCACAGCGGCAGCGGTTGTAAGGGATTGGTTGAGCAGCAGCAGGCCAGCTCGAGAGCGGGGCTGGGCATCGCCTGAGAATTGCAGGAGTTGGCTGGAGCTCTCATGAGGCGGCGGCGGCGGCGACGGGGTGATGGCTGTAGCAGCGGTGGCGGCGGCTTCCTCCTCGCAGGGGGACAAATGTGAGGCTGGTGTGGGTGTGGTTGCTGTATGTGAAAAGAAGGTAAGAAGGAGCTCCTTTTGGAAGGTTTCTCCTTGAGTAGACTTACGTGTCTCTGCCAGCAGATCCGGCCTGCGGTTAATGACGCCCCCCACAGAGTCCAAAGCTGGCCGAAAGCTGGTCAATAGGCTGGCCCTGTCGCTGGGATCATGCGACCATACATCCTCATAGTCACTGATCTTGTCGCTCAATGCACTGGCACAGTACTGCAAAGGTGGGCTCTCCAGGATATCCGATTCCTTGTAGTGCTGTGACTCCTTGCCAGCTCGGGATTTACGAGATTTACTGCCACTGCCACTACCGCTGGGCGTGAGCGGTGAGGCGGCGAGTAATTTACGCTGCGTTGGCCAGCGACTGTCATTGGAGGAGGATCCCTGCGAGGACAATGTGTCCTTGCATTCACCTTCCGGCGATAAACGTTTGGCAAAGGTCTGGAAAGTGGTGGCCTGGCCATTGAGCAAAGCATTAAAGGGATTACTAGACGCCGGCGTGGTCACCTCCACAAATTTGCCTCCTGTTTGTTGTCCTCCTACTCCTCCTCCTGCAATGGGTGTTCCTCCTCCCACACCATTCTCCATGGAAAAGGTCACGGTGGTGGTGACCGTAAAGTTGCCATTACCATTCTGATCTGGGGAATGTGGCTTGGACCAGCGCATTGGCGGTGCCGGCGGCTTGAGATTCAAAGTATTTGGCGGCTTGGGTCGCTGGGGACGCACTTGCTCCACTTCTGGCAAAGCCTGGACCACCTTGAAGGTACTCAACTGCTGCTGCTGCTGCTGCTGCTGTTGGTCGCTTACCGGCGGCGGCGGTCCTATGGAGCCTGAACCCGAACCAGAGCCTGGCAAATAATGCTGTCCTGGATTATCCACCGGCGACATGGTCAATATAACCGAATCCACCGAATTGGGACTCAGCAGCTGCAAATGCTGCCCTCCACTGGTGGTAAACGAACTCAAGCTGGAGTTGGTGGTGTCCGAGGGCGTGCCCGCCTGGCTGAAGAAGCCCAACAGCTGGCCACTGCCAGTGGGACTAAAGAGGCTGTTGGTTCCTCCACTACCAGGCAACGGAGGAGCACTTCCCGTGGGCGGTGGCTTGGACAAAGCATCACTAAAGAATGTGGCCGTGCCCAGACCACTGGTCTCTGTCAACGAGAGTGGTGACTTGGCGTCCGGCAAGTGCTGATCCCGCAACGAAGGCGCCACCGTGGGCGTAGGTGGTCCCAAAAGAGCTGGACTACTGGCATAGCTCCAAAACTCCTGACCCAGCAAAGCCAGCGAGGAGAGTTTCTTCCGATTGTTGGCCTCGCGGAGGACTCTCGGCAGCATCAGCTGCACGGGCAGCTCATCGCAGCACTGGGCATAGTGGGCAATCAGCGAGGGTATCGAGCCAAAGGTAAACCGGGAGCTCTCCAAGCTGAGGACATTGTCGTGCGACTGGATGAGATAGTGTTCGATGTAGGGGCCCGTGTCCTGGGGCAAACGCACCGAAACGGCCATGGTATTGGGCTGGCTGGAACCGCGAACTATGAAGGTCTGCAAGTAAAAAATAAATAAGTGAAAATTAAGAAATGTTTTTTATTATATATATTATTTTATAAAGGAACTAAACCCAAATTTTGACCGTTTAAAAGTATATCCCTCTTTAACCTTTGTTATTTTATATATATTTAATTTTTATATTTATTTGTTTCAATGCAAAAAAGTTATTATCTTTAGCATTTTCTGTGGCCTGAGAGCCTTTCGTGTAAAAATCCTTAAGTGAGTCTTTTTCCTTTGACTGCGCGTTAAATGTTGCGTTCACAATTCGCCCATAAATTCCCACTTATGGATGATAAATCGTCCCTATTTTACCCAGTCTTCTGTTTTCTTTACAATAGCTTTTGCTTTTGCTCCTGCTCCTGCTCCTGCTCGCTTTTCTTATTATTTTCTCCTGGCTTTCCACTTCTTGTTGTCGGCAAAAACTTTGCAGACGCTGCGACAAATCGCGAGAAAGAACAAGGAGCAAGGAACAAGAAGCAAGGATCCAAGGAGGCGTTGCTCTGCTAGCATCTTCAGACGCAGACCTGGTCAAGTGTGGCCGGCTTGCTAATCGCCAGTGAAAACTTTTCATAATGAGCGTCGCAGAAAGAGGGAAATGCGTTTAAAATAATTTTAAGAAAAATAATTCTTATATATATTAATATAAGGAATCCTTAAACTGCAAATTTCATTATAATTTCCATTCATAAGACCTTATCCCCCCCCCAAAATCAATTTATGTAAAGTTCTTCAAGTATTTTTTGGCTTTCTCTGAAGGATTCCGTTGTGTTTGCCTTTCAATTTCAACCCCAGAGAGCATGCAATTATATACCAGGACAACACCCACTCTCGGCTCTATATGGTTATATAATTCTTTTTCTCCTTCAGATTTCAATAAATGCCAAAATGGTTGGAAGAGTGTGCAGTACCCCGCGGCGTTGTTTATGATTTCTGTGCGAGTTGCGCACAATTTTTCAATAAGCAGTTCGGTGGCAAAGATGTTAAGGGAGAAACCCACTCAAAATCGGGTGGGTTTAAGGTTTATTTCATTTATTATTATTTTTTTTAAAGCACAAAGTAGAAAGAGAGACTCTCACAAACATTTTATCCTGATTTAATAATGCGGTCACAAAGGGCGGTGCTTGACCATCAAGAAAATGCAATTTATACAAGGCCAAAAATAAAAGGGGGGAAACGGCACTGGTAACTTCCTCTTTCAGCAGACAAAAATTGAGCGTAAAAATGCCTTAACAAGCTAAAAGCCAACCGAAAATGGGATATAGCCAGGGAAAACTCAATAAAAATCAGAGACGGTCAAGGCAAGGCAAGGATAATGCACAAAGGTCTGTCGTTTGAGGGAAGATTTGTCATAATTGTAAGACTTTTTAGGGAATATATAAATAAAAAATATATAAAATAAATATATAAATAATAAAAAAATATATAAATAATAAAAAAAATATAAATAATAAAAAAAATATAAATAATACAGAAATATATATATAAAAAATTATTTTAAATATGAAAATGTGAATAATACATTAATTTATATTAAAAAATATTTATATTTATATTGTAAAAATATTTAGAATTTTTTTTAAGGGAGTTAGAAACTTTGGAGTAATTTTAGGAATCTCAAAGTACAATAAAAACAGCTTAAAAAAGAATAATCAAAAAATATAAAAATATTAATAAAAAAATAAATATAAAACTTTTATAAGTACTTTATAAAATATATAAATACAAAAAAAATATTAAAAAATTCACTAATACAAATAGTTCAAAAAACACCTTATAAATTGCATTATTATAGCCATGCTACGCACTGTACTCCCTTGCCTTGCCTTGTGTGAATGTGTGTCCTGTCTCAGGCTGAGTGCCTGCATTTTATTGGCTCGAATTGACAAATTTCATTCGGTTGGAGAACAATAAAAAGGCGTAACGACAGATCAGTTATATATTGATATATATATGCGTCTGCATAAAGTTTAATTTTCTAATGCATACAAACACACACACACATAGTCTCTATTATATTTTATATATTATATTCTGAGAGGCAAAAGCCAGACGACGACAGGTGGATGTGCCGGTAAGTGGGAGGTATGCCACCTTTTTCGGAGCACATCCACCTACCTACTACCTGCCACAATGGCTCTTCGTCAGCCATTTCCATTTCCATTTCCATACCCACTTCCATTTCCATTTCCACTTCCACTGCTCTAGCCACACTTGCAGTCCCATTTACATATAGCCATAGCCATATGGCCATTTGCAGGCTTTTAGGCATTCGTCTGGCGAAATGAGGAAGGCCTAGAAATGCATTTCGTCACTCTAAAGCAGTTCATTGACTTAAAAACGTTTAGAAAATTCTGGAAAAGCAAGGCTTTTCGAGAAGATTTTTAAAATAAATTATTAAAACATTAAGATGTAAGATTTCTTAAAAAAAAAAATTTAAAACAAAAAATTTAAAAAGGAAAAATAAAATTTTTTTAAATTAAAGAATTTAAAAAGATTTCCTAAATAAATTATTTAAAAATAAAAAATTTAACAAGATTCCACAAAAAATCGTTTAAAGGGAAAAAATGCAAGAAGATAACTCTTATAAATTGTTAAAGAATTAAAACCTATAAGAAATCTTTTGAAAATGTGGCCTAAAAATTAAATAAATGCTTTATTTGATGTGTATTTTGTATTTCCAAAATTATTTAATAACTTTTTATGTAATTTCCTATTATAAAAGACTTTTCTAGCATGCCTAAATCATATAAGCTACCTCAAGCGCTTTAAAATCACTTGCTTGGCGGCCTAAAAGTATGCTTTAAATTATGTTTCAACAATAATTCAAAATCAACAAAAAGTACATGAACTTTCTAGATTAAAATATGTTTAAAAAAATGTTTAGAAAAATGTTTAAGAGATGTTTTAATCATTTATGATTTCGCTAAATATATATTTCTCCCCCTTTCAGTAACACTCACATCCTTTTGGCTTTCAGGATTCACACATTTCTGTGTGGAAAGAGAGTGAGAAAGAGAGAAAGCAGTGCAGATGGTAGATTTGTTGTGGACACTTGCATTTCACTTGCACTTTTCCATTCATTTCCACACCAGACTGATGAATGCGGTTTGCATTTCGATTTGTTCTGCCCAACCGCAAGGGGACGAACAGGGCCAGGACATTCGACAGTCAACGGTTTAATTTCCGTTGCTTGCCTTTTGCCAAACATTTTCAATTACACACGCATTCTGTCCAGATAATATCGTAAATTTAAACGTTTTTATGGCTTCTGACAGACACAACTGGTAAAATGGTCATTAAATTATGGTTTTTTTATTTCAGAGGGGAGAGCATATGAAATTGTTTTTTAAATGAATTTTTGGTTTTATATTTAATTTTATATAATTAAAATTTAAATAGGAAGTTTAATTTTAGCAAGTTAATAATAAAATTGTTGAATAAATTAAATTTTTTAGTATATTTCTTAATAATTAAGATTGAAAAGAACGTTTTCTTGTTATTTTTTTTTTAAATAGTAGAATGTTATTTTAATGTTTAAGCATTTAATTTAAATTTTAGAACCTAGGCAAGTATATTTTTTTTTGTAAGTACAACTTCTCAGATTTTTTTGTAGTGTTTTTTATTTTTCTAGTTATTAATTTTTTATATGTTTATTTTACTTTTTAAGAATTTATTTAGCTTTAAAAAAATAACAAAAACCTAAGCAAATATTTTAAAAGTAAAATTAATACATATTTCTTTCTCTGAGTTTTTTTCTAGTTATTTAATTATTTTAGTTTTTTAAAGAAATTATTTAGTTAGTAATTTCCTCTAAATAAAAAAACCCTAAGCAAATAATCCTTTAAAAAATACAATTTTCACCTCTTCCCTTTTATTTGAATGCACTTTTCTCCACCTCAGCAAACACATCCTTCTTGGCACATCCTTTTCTACTCTTCTCGATTTCACTTTCCCTTTACTCTCCCCTTCCCAAACCGCCCTTCGGTAATCATTTATCTCTTTGCATTTATTTTGCATTTAATTGCATGTAAATTATTGTGCAATGGCCAGCACATGGCCACGAATGTACGCACCGCCAGGAGGAGATACCATATCTCTCTTTACCTCCAACTCCTTTTCGATTCCCTGCGGCGTTGCAAATCAGACAGAGAACACACACTCTAGAACCGATTCGTCGCATTTGCACCCATTTCCGGGCAGACCCTTTCCCCCCAGATTTCTGTACATTTCGATTCCGAAATCATCAGTCCTACTCCTCCACCTCCAACCATTGTCACCCCTTCTTTTGGAAGGGAAGGTAACAACATTTCCGGTTTCCATTTCTCGCCGCGTGCCTTCGGGGCTGCATTTCTCTGTGCGAAATGTCCGCAGTGCTCCTCCACCCACCTCCTCGACAACTGCTACTGATTTTGGCTCAATCGCCATCTTCAGTCACCCCTTTTTGGTCCTTTTTGCGGCAAACGTGTCGCAGCTGCTGCCAGTCTGTGGTTTTCGGTCATCGAAATGAAAGTGCAGCAAATAGCACAGCAATAAAAAAATGTAGAGAAAATAATACAAAAATCAAACTATACTATAAATAATTTATTTATTTATATACTTAGCTAACTTTTTCATTTGTTTCGTAAATTGAGGAAATTAGAATCTTAAAGCCTTTAAAACTTCAACATTTCTTTCAGTGCCTTTTGACAGGATGTCTGCTTTTTGGTCGTAATCAAGTTTTGGCCCGCAAATAGACTCGTCGTCGCTTGGCTGGATCCGCTCAAGCGCCAAGTCTAGTCTATAATCATCAAATCATGCCTCAAATGTTAGACAACATTTGCAGGAGCCACAGGATCCTGACCTTCTCACTCTCTGTGTACCCGCTGTGCTGCTGTCTATCAATCATGACGCCATCAAAATGCTTGACAACAAATCTTGACTGCTTAATGGTCACGGGCAACGCACAAGGAGGAAGCAGGAGAGTAAGGAAGAGAGATCCCTGCCATCCTGTGGCA